TGTCGTTGAATTGCGGTGGGGAATTTGATGATCTTCGTCTACTGCCCAATAAACTATGTTGGAGGGCAGCCCTCCGTCTTGTCCTCCGCCTCGGAGTGGACTCGTGATCTGTAAATTAATAATCAAGACGTATCTGGGAAAACAAATTATGGGTTAATCAAATGTGTAACTCATATATTAAGGTAAGAACGGATCCAACAAAACTTGCTTTCATGAATGTGAATAAACTATGAAGAAATTTTTTAAACCTGGTATGATAAAAACAAACACATGAATACATGTGTGTTGAAACAGACACATGAACTCACATGTCAATAATCAGACACAAACACGCACACATAAACCATTGTATGGTGAAATAGACACATGAACTCACGTGTCAATTATCAGACACAAACACACACACATGAACTCACGTGTAGTGATACAGACACATGAACTCACGTGCCAATAATCAGACACAAACACATGAACTCACGTGTGGTGAAACAGACACATGAACTCACGTGTCATTAGTCAGACACAAACATACACACATGAACTCAATATCAATAATCAAATGATCACTATGACAACACCTGTGTGTATAACCGACAGCAATACAATGGGAACCAATAGTCACTACTATTTCAATAATGAAACGCGTTTCACCCGCAATATATAGTAAAACTTGTCGATAAACACATCAACTCATGCGTAATTATTCTTAAGGTTGAATAACACAAAAACACGCACACATGAAATCACGTGTGGTGAAACAAATACATAAACTCGTGTGTTTAAAGAATAACAACAAGTCATCAACTTACATGTTGTATAAATATGTCCCAACGCATACATAGTAACAATTCGCTTCTAAAATAACCGTAATCAATTGTAAACAAACGACAGCCATAACCAGCTAACAGCTTATCGGACTAACTTTGTGAACTCACATCATGTAAATATCTCGCATAGAGAGACCTCAAAGAACGCGCCCGTGTACAGGATAATACTCGACGTTAACCGAGCCCAATTCACCCAGGAAACTTCAACAAAACATAGTATTGAACATATCAAATGCATGATGACCTATCCATTGCATAAGCTCATCAGTTCGATCTAACAATGTATCGCTGACACGCATTAACTCTCATGAAAACAAGTTACATATAATGACCAAAATAACAATAACGAATTGTTTACACACTACAGCTGGGCGGAAATACCCGTGTGCAAAAGTGTTACCACGCATGAGTAGACTACCGCCTGACGTCATTGCTATCTCAATATATTCCGAAAGAGATGTACAAGTAAACAAACCAGAAGTTCATGAATATTCATGACCTTACCTTTTATAGATAGGAAATTTGGTCACGTGCCTGTTCCGGCCAATCGCACACCCTGTAGAGCTGCTCCCCGCACGGAGTAGATGTACTTGCGCATACCCTTATCAGACAAGTGTACACCATCCCTACACAGATTTTCCGAGACGCCATCTTTAAGGCCCTTATGCCGCCAATAGAAACAAACATTTGAAACAGCACAACTCTGCTTTAGCGTCGAATTCACCCAATCTACTGAGGCATTATACACTGACACAGGTGTCACTCTAATTTTCTGGCGATAAAACAACTGTAGAAACCCAACACGCTGAATATCAAAACCGTGCACTAACCACTCTGCTATCGAAAATAGGTCAGTAACGATAGTGTCCTTCACCCGTTCAATGTCAGCACAATCCAAATCATTTCCTCCAATTTGTAATAGAACTACAGAAGGCTTAGCTTGCTGAATAGCATCAGTAAAACCACGAGCGTAGATATTGGGAATTTTTCCGCCACTTTTACCAAGACACAATACGTGTAACTGCTCAGGGTCAAAACCTAGATTTGTCCATGAACCCTTAAGGCTCAAGTCCAAACGACGAATAAAGCTATGACCCAAAACGACAACTGACGACATCATAAAACATTCGCTACAGTCAAGAACACTAAAATTGTATGAAAATGTTTTAGTTTTCCAATGATATAAATAGCTAATATAAATTGAATAAACTGGCCTTGACCGTACGAACCTTGTTCCGCCATATTCTGCTGTCAGCTTCTGAATAGAAAATGCTGCGTCATTTATATTTATAGCGGTCTAAAAATAGCCACCGAATTAGTGCGCGCGGGCGACAGTTTGACCACCTTACTCCAACCCCAAATTACCTCCTTCCGCTAATAATAGAATCCTTACATATAAACACAATCAGCCTGTATAAATAACATTAAAACTTGTTTTAATTTGCATCTAAAACAGTACACACACCAAAAAACACCATATTCTCATGTACTCTAGAACAGTGCATACACTACAAACAGACTATATCCTCACGTACTCTAGAACAGTGCATACACCAAAAACAAACTATATTCTCATGTACTCTAGAACAGAGCATACACCAAAAACAGACTATATCCTCACGTACTCTAGAACGGTGCATACACCACAAACAGACTATATTCTCATGTACTCTAGAACGGTACATACATCACAAACAGACTATATTCTCATGTACTCTAGAACAGTGCATACACCAAAAACAGACTGTATTCTCACGTACTTTAGAACGGTGCATACACCACAAACAGCCTATATTCTCACGTACTCTAGAACGGTGCATACACCACAAACAGACTATATTCTCACGTATTTTAGAACGGTACATACACCACATACAGACTGTATTCTCATGTACTCTAGAACGGTGCATACACCACAAACAGACTATATTCTCACGTACTCTAGAACGGTGCATACACCACAAACAGACTATATTCTCATGTACTCTAGAACAGTGCATACACCAAAAACAGACTATATTCTCATGTACTCTAGAACAGCGCATACACCACAGACTGTATTCTAACATACTCTAGAACAGTACATACACCACAAACAGACTGTATTCTCATGTACTCTAGAACGGTGCATACACCACTTTCAACCTGCTGATTATTTCCACATTGTCTTGTTTCAAGTGCTATATATATAGTATTTTAAATGCCTACGTAGAGAAAATATTTTGACTGACAGTCCCTGCTTTCTGCTGTTTAATGTTTTAAGGGAAAAGTCTTATTCTTTACTCAAAACATACAAAATGCAATGGACTGTTGAATTATGATTTTATTGAATAAAGCATAACCATCTTCAGATGTGAATGTTTTTTATATAAAATTGAAAGAAATATTTTGTAAGAAGAGTTTGGATGGCCGAGAAATATATTTACATACATCAATTTAACTTTTCCAGTGAAGGTTAATGTTTATTAAAATGGAACTCTTATTTTACTCTGCTTCTATATGATATATCGCAGATGATGGTTTTGCATTGCTGGTTTTGTCACTAAGTAAGCAGCCAAGGTCATATTAAAATCGGGTCTACTTGTAGTAAAGACTGCAACTTCACTGAACAGAGGTCAGTTGTATTCCGTCCACAGAAAGGCGGGGTCAACATATATGGGAATTTAACATTAGCTTGGAATTTCAAAACATGATACCATAAACAGATATGGGTATCAGAAGCTTAAATATGGAAAAGTTATTCTCGGAATTGATTTCTTATAAAATGGGAGTTCCTTGACTAAGCAGTTGTTATGTAATTCCTTCTAGTGCATTATTATGAGTTAATTCCAATACAATTATGTCATTAATGTGTGCACATTGTACCAACCAACATTTTGATACCACAAATCACACGAGAAACGCTTCTTTTAAGTTGAAAATGCAGTCAAAATTCAGATAAAAAGCCATTACTTTTGAGAAAAGCACTGTTTTGGAAACTTCAATTTTCATACTTCCGAAACCAGTCTATTTTTCATACTTGCTTTAAAGTTGGCCACAGATGATATCTTTCTTTCAAAAGGAGGATTCTTGGAAAAAGGAAAACCGGTAAATTTGTCATTTTACACATTTGCTTAAAAAAACAAGAAACACTCATTTGTTTTTTTCATTTTTGTTAAATAGTGACAGCTTGATAACCAAAAGTCTGCAAGTCTTGCTATTTGACAAGGTGGTTGTTCATGTCAATTTGTATCAGTTTGGTTAACATTGCTGAACTTGAACTCTGTTCAAGGCCACACAAATGAAATTAGTTAAAATAAAGACATTTTTGTGCAAGTTTCACAATTTGTAGATTTAGTTAGCAGCTTTATACAAATCTTTTGATGAAGGTCGATAAAGTGACCTTATTAGATAAATTATGTACAGTAATAGTGGCGGTTTTTGCCTTTGCCTTTCGATCCATAATTTGTGACACTTTGAGAAGCTAATAAGAGATAGAACAGTTGCAGTTTGCAGCACATTACGTTGCGTTTTAGTATAGCAGAACTGCTCAAGTGATTGCTCGTTTGAACTTGAGTGTTACATGAACTAGGTTAGATTGATCTTGATGCTGAACATGGCCCAAGAAATACAAAATGCACGCGACATGTGCACACATTCCAACGGTTCGCTTGTCCGTTGGACAGACACAGTAGTAATTTTTACATGGTCATCTTGATCATTTATTTCAAACGCAATCCAAACATTGTATTTTGACTGTGATTTGCGCCTTGAATGGATTTGGCCTCGGAGAAGATTTTCATCATGCTGATAGACCCAAACTTCCAAGTCTTCTATAGGAGTCAGATGCTCAGCAATATATCTGGGTGCTACTTTCAACTAGTATGATCCGCAGGTTACTGTTTCTAAATATTCCATATTCAGTACTGTAAACTATTGAACAGGCATCAAGTTTCACCCAGTTGGCCTTGTTACGGCTAGAAAGGTCAGGTTCATCTGCAACACTTGAGGCCAAGGTGTTGGGCAGAGCCAAACGGGATTGTATTCGCAAGACGACGGTCTCTCAAGTCCCTCTCTGGTGTGGACACACAAATTGGTCCACGTACAGCATTCAAGGAAACAATAACTACTTTATCCAGTTCCTCTATGACACTAAGGAAGTTTTTGTCAGCTGAGTTGTTCTCTAAACAGTTTCTACTGTTTCAGTCGACCATGGTAGCTCTCCACAACCGATCTTGACTTAGTACACTGGCGGTCCTCATTGGCAGTAAGAGTATCATGCTGTGTCTCCAACACATCCCTATTGCTCCGGTCAACAATCACATTGTCATCTTCACTGAGCCACAAGGTCAGGTTCTCAACTGTTCCAAGAATTTTTATCAAAATATTTACACCATATTCATTGCCATAAAAAGCCCCAATAGTGTCTAGTACATAACCATCTGGAAAGACAATGCATATGGATTTAACATAGTTGCGCTTCTTTGCCCACAGTATGAGGATCTTTGAAGGGAGTGATCAGCACTTTTTTGGACATAAATATAGGTTCCATCAAGTATTACGGATACTTTGTCCCCGTAGAAATATCTTGTAAAGGCAATGCTGTGGCACTTAGCGTCCTCGTGGGTAATGTGTCTTGAACCAAGGGAACGGGGCACAATGGTCTGGCTCAAGGCTTTTAAGACACTATGAAATATGCGAGACACATACTGTTTTTTTGTTGTTATTTTTTCAGACCACATAAAACACCAAGTTGAGATCATGAAATATTGTCTTCAGTTTAACCCAGAAAAGAAACAAAGCATGGAATGTAGAGGACCATGATCCTCTATTAATGTGTGATGAGCAAATGCTATGGATTTGCTGCATTTGTTCAAGTATGTTACCAGTCCATGCTTTGAATTCTTCATCTCTGAGATGGTCTACATCTATGCCTGTGTTGGTTGGAGTACCAGCAGAAAGGAAATGGCTTAGCTCAAGAAGGTCATTGATAACCTGATTAGATCTAAGGTTCCCTTGTTTGCAGATCTAGTTGCAAAGAAGGATTCAGAAGTCACCAATTACATGGTCATTGCAAACACGAGCATCAGGAGGACGCCATAGAAAATAGAAAAAATATCAAGATTGTCCTGGCACGCTGGTGTATAGTGCATAACCATGTGCGGAATGTTTATTTGTAGCCGTGTTCTGAATGTTTATTTGTAGCCGTGTTCTGAATGTTTATTTGTAACCGTGCCCTAAATGTTTATTTGTAGTCGTGTTCTGATTTTGCTGTGACAAATACATCTTTTGGTCCGTCGTGGTACGCCGTGCGTAAACATTCAATTTTTCAATAACCAAAAGGACAAGAGTGATGATATTGGGCCTGTAACATGCTAGGATGAAGGGATATCAGGTTTTTTAAATGGTAGACCTTGATCTACTTTCAAGGTCTCAGGCGTTAAATATGTGAAGAATAATAAACAGCTTTAACATCTTTCATATAAAGGTCTATATAGCCAGCTGACCGTTAAGGCCTTTGGACCATTTTGTCTATTTTGCTCCAACTGTTACAATTATGAATTTGATGGTGTTTATTTTGATCATCTTCCTTGTTCTGTATCCTTTAAAAGGAAAGAAACGAACACAAAAATTAGGTCCAAGAAATTGACAATTTAAATCATATCGTAATGGTTTGGAAGTTTTATCTTGGTTTTTTTATCGTTTTTGGAAATATCTAGTAAACCTTTAGTGGAGTTATGAAACTAAAAGTGATTATAACGCATTAGACAGTCCTTCTACCGATACACGTTGCTTAAATATGTGGTATATAAGAAAGATGTTTGGGAGATATTGAACCCTTATATAAGTTTTAATCTAGAAAATCGCCAGCACACTCAACCTTAACATATGAGGTACTCTAAATGTACACTGACCTAAATTCCGGATATATTGCCTGTACTTTAAGCTATGGACAACTGGGCCAGGGTTATATACCGGAATTACAGACAGATTACACCAACTTGTTTCAGGATTAGTGTAATATACCGTTAATCCTAGCCTAATACAATGAATTAACCAAGCACTATTAATAACGATTAAGCTTTCGCGACAATACATGTCATAAACAATATCAAATTCTCGACCTGATAGAGTTCCGCTCAGTTAGCGAATTATGGATAAAGCACCTCTGTTATATCAGGCCGCTCCATATTTAGAACTGTAATTTTTTAATCTGATCATGTATTTAAAATTCAATCAATTTGATATCGAATACTTTGTAATTTTATCAAATTTTGAAAGAACATTCCATGTATTTAATTATTGGTCGTCTTTTTCTACTTACGATTCGTATTTTCATGGTGGGACAAAAATATATTTTGTCTCTGTTTTGTAAACACAAAAATGTCCGCTTACATTATACAAACATTTAAAATTGATCCATGGGTTTTTTCTTTCATTTAAAATAATTATGATAAGTAATACTCTGCTAATACAAATATACACATTGTTATGAAAACCTGATATAACAGTGTTCCGAATTTATAACAAAAGTGGCCATCTCGGATTTTGACTAAGAAAGTTTGTTATCGCTGTTTCTTGAGAAGCAGTGGATCTTTCTCGAATGTCCTATTAAGGTGGTATTTGGTTCCTTATTTTGTCCTTAAAAAGAAAAAAGAAAAAAAACTCGCGGCCATCTTGAATTTGGCTATTTCTTATGAGGAATTTGCTTGTTTCATTTTAAGTATAAAAACAAATGGAAAGGAGAGATACTATGTGACAAGATCGAACTTTTAAAGAACAACAAAGAAACAACAGATTGTGGGCGCCAATATCTTTTGAGTATCTTTTGTTAAATTTTGCCGTTAAAACGCCGTGAACTTTTCTAAGTGCTATGACCACAAGAAGAAAGATATTCAGCTGTTTATTACACCACAAACAGATAATATAAAGGACATATCAAGCGGCTGGATAACTAGAAGAGCAGGTCGGTTACAGTTATAAAGCGATGTAGTAGCTTGGCTTTTTGAAATAAAAAAAGGAATAAAGACTGAAGGACAAATACATTCAGAACACAGAATATTTAAAAAAAAATAACTTCCATGAAATATGATTTAAAATTGTCTCTATTCAATGTTGATCGGGGAGATTTCTCTTCGCCATAAACTTGCCTTGCCGACAGTAGTTCCTGGATGAATTCCAATTCGGGAACTTAATCAGGAAAGGACTGCCAGTAGATTGATTGCTTCGGACAAAGCTTGAATGTCATTGCCTAGATGGAGAAGGGATTTTAAGAAGAGGCTAGATTTACGCAGTTGGGCTCCATGCCTCGGGCACCAGGCCAAAAAGACCAAGGAATTAAAAAATAAACGTTTTCGTTATCCTAGCATGCTTCTGAACGAATTTTGTTGAAACTCTTTTCGTTTAGTTTATTGTTGATCTTAAATCGAGGCTGCGCTGACCTAATTGGGATAGTATCTATGCGTCCCATTTACCCAAGGATGTTTCACACCAAATTGGGCAGTACGAGCATTTTAGAGATATTACTCTCTTTCCTCAGTTTGGCCTCATCCCTGCTACCCTAAAGGACCAAGACCTGTCGTTAGATAGCTCACATAATCTGAAAGTCCATGCGAGCTGGTGGCGCGGCGTCCGTCCGTCTGGCCTCTGATAACTTTTGCATTTAAATGACTTATTTAAGTATTTAAGTAGTAGGGGTATGGGATGAAGCCCGACAAATTGCTAACAGAAATAACCTTGACTAATATTCAAGGTTATAGGGAATTTGTAAAAGCCTTTACAATCTTATTCTAACTTATCAAATGACACCGTAGCAAGATATTTAGCTGATTGGTTCAAAGAAAGAATTCTGACAAAGTTTGCGAAAAGAAATGGCATTGACACATATTCAAAGTCAAATAGGTCGAATTGTTAGAATATTAACAGGACTTTTTCTGATTAACCAAAAGGCGCATAATCATGGATTTTAGCTGAATCATGACAAAACCTGCTAAAAAATGGACCCTGACTTATATTCTATTTCTTCTGACTAACCAAAGGGCCCAGAAACATAGCTATATTTTGGTTCCTAATATGAATTCTGACAATATTTGCGAAACAAAGTTACCTTTTCTCTTATTAAAGGTCAAAGGTGCAAAATTGGTTTAAAATTCCACAAAAAGGTGAAAAAGCATTTACCTGATATGTTCCTAATATGAACCCTCATAATATTTGCGATACGGAATTACCTTGAACCGTATTCAAGGTCACTAGGGTCTATTTTTAAATTTCGATATCTGATTAACTGTCAAACGACCCACAATCATTATACTTGGCAGATAGGTTGATAAAATATAGTTTGTCTGAAAATTTGGTTTTAGAAACTTCTATCTTTCCTTTATCGGGCTCCTCCTCTCTTGTCCAAAGCAGCAGAGATTGGATTTCCTTCACCTGAGAATGGCTCAGACCAAATTTGGACAAAATCCTAACATTAAGATAGATTGGAAGGAACTGCAAAATCTCCCCTTTTTGATACCGCCCCTTTGACCCCTCGGCACAGAGTTAAAATATTATACAATTTTGGTTTCGCTCTCTCAAATGACGCTTTTGACCAAATGTGGTAAAAATTCCCTCAGTCAGTTATAACTAGTAGCGATTTATTGTTAATAAATGTTTACGGACGTCGCTCCTTTGAATAAGCTTGACGGCCCTTCCGATTACGTTAACGTAAAGGGGGAAATAGAACAGTTCACTTGGCATGGAGAAACAGGTAAATGCGGAATTCCATTTGCCTTGATAAGACAATCTGGATGTATTCGGTTGTTTTTCACCTGTGTGCTACATACGTGCATCGACTCGTTAATTATCGATTGAACTATATGTATGATTGTGACTAGTAAGAGAGATGCAGTATATTCACTGCATTAGTTACCTGTACGATACAGGAACTTTGGACCTGTTCCTCAGTATTAACTGGTAATCGTCTTCCGTTATCAGCTATCTCAGTCACCGTGATCGGAGAAGAAAACTTTGTTATACAATATATATATGTATATGAAACCCTTTTCCAATTCGTTTTTCTAGAATGAAGTCGATCATTAATTGGATGGCAAAGATAAGACACAAAATATTAAGATGTGGAAAAATCCCTTTTTATTTAATATATGTAGCACACTATGAATAGTAACTGACATGACGAGGATTAAAACTAGATGATTAATATATACATATATTTCTATTTATCACGACAAGCTGTAATGCTATTTAGGTGAGGGCTAAATGTAAAAAGAAAAGTGACAATGCAACCAAGGAAATGAACAACAGTAAAAGAAATAAAACTAACAGTATACTTTTTTGTTGACGTTTGGCACAAACGGAATACACAACAGCGACACTTATATTGATAGTGTAATAATAATATAACCTAGAGATGTGAAATTTTGTGTTTTTGTGTGGATGAACAAATCAAAAATTATCTTACAAAATCAGAGTGACTGTCATGAAAATGAAATTAAATAAACTGTTTGACTTGATACGTAAACAGTATGATACATTTGTCATAAAATAACTTCAAAAATAACCTAATGCAATAGGGTCGATCTTCAGAAAATAATATTTCACTACTTTTTAACAACAGTTTGGTTTCACAAAAATTGTAGGTAGTAGAATAAGCTTGTCAATAGTCTTTTGTATACTCTTCCAAAGGTGAAACAGACATGGCATTTGAGAGTAAAGTTGTTTCTAAATGTACAGCTGTAGCAGGATCATGAGTGATGTCACGACACCCAGCAAGAATGTAGAAGCCCCCGTCTTTTCGAGACCTATAAAGAAAAGTATAATATTTCAATAATCCCTCAATCCTGGCCTGTGTATTATTCAATATAATAACACACTTCATCTGTATGAATAATTTCCTAAACATATATTATCTTGATAATTTCACTGGGAGAAGGCGAGAAGCGTCCAATCGTGGGGCACCCCTTGCAAATGGAGAACCCAAAATTAAGGTCTGTTGTATCCCTCTACATGGTTGTAAGTGACTACGAATTGTGCCCCCTCCCTTCAGAGTTTTGTACCAAGAGGACATTACGGAGGCCAAAATAAATTTGCTGCCACAAATTACGGCATTTGTGATCAAGTTATGTTCCTTCCACTTTTTCCTGTATGATCTTTTCCAGAGTTTTATTTTTTTTTCTCTTAAAATCATTCCTATAGCGCTAACAGTAATCTGCATTTTAGATTTCATCAAAGTATTTGTTTGCCTTTATTTTTATCCCAATAATTTTGTAAAGATAATAGAACAGCTACAATGTCTTCTATGGCTGTCTCAGACAATGAAGAAATTGCTCGATTCCGAATTGGAGTCACTGAAAGACGCTTTCTCTATTCAAATGCGGTGGGAGAGTATTAACACTTGATACCCCGTATGTGAAGGAAGGGTGGAATACGTAGTCTCTTAGCATACTACAATGTAAACCTTAATATCTAATTTTTTTCACTGCTTCTGTGCGAGTAGAAAGTATAATAATGTTACAAGGTTTAAAAGCAGCAAGCTTCATCATCTTAACTATATTTCATTAATAAAAGTACCTTCCGCGCCACTTTGACAGGAAGCCAGAAGTGCTCCACTACATCCAGCGTAAGTGGCAGTTTCGTCACTTCCGTCATCACAGTCATTAAAACAGTCACACTGGAACTCTCTGTTGATACATTTCATTGCTCCAGACTCGCAGGTAAACCAGCCGGTAGGACAGAGCTGACAGGGAAATAAAGTTCAAATTTGATCATGTTCATGTGAAATTTCTTTATGGATTTTTCTTAAATATTTTGATCTATTTATTTATTTTCTTTTCCGTCGCGTAAATTGTTACCTTTAAACGTTTATATTTTCACGCGAGTATTACCTGTTGGTAAACTCCAGCAGCCGCAGCTGGACACGATCTGACGTTACAATCTCCTAACACAGAAGAGTCACCACTACAAGGCAGACCACCATTGGCAGGCATCGGATCGTCACATACTCGTGTGCGTGACTGTTTGCCGCCACCGCAGGTCACGGTACACTGACTCCAGCTGCCCCATTGACCCCATGCGCCATCGACTTTTGATTAAAAGAGTATATTTGTAGATTTAATTATTAATACAAAATACATAGAGAAAGCAAACATCTTATGCATATCAACCATTCACTTGAATTTAACTGTATGACCTTTGGATAGGAACCTGTGTTTAATTCTAAAACAATACTTACTTATACAAACTTGTGTGTTGCAATCCATTGTAGTGGTATCGGATCCTGGACAGTCTGCCCCGTTATACTGTGGGGCGGGATTAGTGCATGTGCGTGTCCTGGTAGAGATTCCACCTCCACAAGTAACTGTACAAGCGCTCCAGCTTCCCCAGGTAGCCCATTCACCGTCAACTGAATTGGTAATTTTCACACGTCTTTCCAGTTTTATAATTATCAATTTTACATATATGCATTTTTCTCATATGTTTATTTTTAGAATATATGAAATACTTAAACACAACTAAAAGAAAACACCGATGTGTTAACAAAGTATTACGTTTTACTCAAAAATGTATACAACAAAGATAAGATATGAAGAAGACAAATATATGGAAACCCTTCAAGAAGTTCAAGAATAAGACAAAGTGTTACTGAATGTTAAGCATTGTCTGCCTCATCGGTGACACCCACTATTTTATATAAATCTAAGAATTGTCACGTTCTCAAATGAGAACAAGGGTTATGGCAACAAAATCACCAAGCATGCTGTGGAGCATTCCAGACATGGTTACATCATTGCTACTAAGGGAAGCGGAAGGACAATGCCTACCTAATGAAGCGAGAGCCAAAAATGTAATTGAATCACAAGAAAATTGAACACAATTATGTCTTATAGTGATTTTAAAGCAATATAAACATACTTGGGCAAGGTGAGAGTGTACATCCTTTCGTCTGATGGAAATCTCCGGAACATGCATTTCCGCCAAACTGGGGGGTAGGGTTTGTACAGGTCCTGCTCCTCTCCTGTGTACCAGTGGCACATGTCACGGAACACGTGCTCCAAGTCGTCCAAGAAGAAAAGCCACCATGAACTGTTTACGTGGTAACATTCTCATTAGTATAATTGTATATCAAGCTTAAATACTCGACGTATTTGTATATCAAGCTTAAATACTCGGCATATTTGTATATCAAGCTTAAATACTTGGCATATTGGTTTTCGTTACCGTATTTTTATTCTATTTTCTTTTCCTTTTTTTGGGGGGGGGGGATCGGTTCTGTATACAATAGGCATTTAACACATGCTTATTTGAATATAGCATAGCCATGTAATGAATTAGATAGCATCATATAGCTGATTCGTATTTCTAATGGCTTAAACTGTTGGTAGGAGAAAAACTTTAATTAAGCGAATGTCAAAATATGAAAGAGTTCTAATTTTAGAGTTCCTCATTTTCTAATCTCTAATTTGCAAAAGCGTCATGTACGTGTTTTAATTTTCAAAGCGTGTTACTATTCAGCTTGGTGACCTGTCAGATTTACTGCTTCATAAAGACCTTCTGAAAAATGTTAAAATGTTTCTGTGAGTAGTTTCAAGGAAAACAACCCCAAATACAAGACAGTGATACATGTTTGAGGTTGTGAGAGGCTGAACACATGACAAGCCAAACATGGGATTATCAGTTTTGAAAAATATATGTAAATACTCATTAATTTTACTGATAACACATACTTGCGCAATATGTCGATGTAGTACAGGAAGCGCTTGACATATCGGAACCAGGGCAGGCAGCTCCATTGTACTGAGGGGGAGGGTTGTTACAGGAACGAGTACGACTCTTTGTTCCAGTCTGGGAAGTTCCATAGTCCTTACAAGTCAGTGAACATGATGTGTAACTACCCCATGATCCCCAAACTCCATCAACTGTGAATATCAATCAAACTGTTAGATCACTTTAAATATTTTAATATTGACCAACTTTTTTTCAGTTGCAATAAACTTTGGACAGGATTGTCATAATCTATGATAATATTTATTCCAGAAATCGCGAAAGATAGCAGCCACCTCAAAGGATATTAGCCAGCACGCTGTGTGGTACCTGCCGCAAAGCATAGCAGCCACCTCAAAGGATATTAGCCAGCACGCTGTGTGGTACCTGCCGCAAAGCATAGTAGCCGCCGCAAATAAACAGTATCGGCAGTGAAAAATAGAAGTATGCTCTTCATATTGGCATTGTTTCTTTCAACTTTAACAACAACGTAACCCTGTCCTTTTAGTTTTTTTTAATCTTTCTCCGTTACAGAATTTTTTAAAAATTATATAATTACTCCTATATGCATTATTTCTGGACTGCTTTTTCATCTACTCCACGGAATGAAATGGTACTGTTGAGACTGCATTTGACAGACACTTACTTGGACAGTGGTGAGTATTACATGTAGCACTGCTGGTATCGGCATTACCACAGGACGCTCCACCATACTGTGGAGTAGGATTAGAACATGTTCTTTGTCTATATTTAATGCCTCCTCCACACGTCACGGAGCAAGACCCGTAACTTCCCCAACTTGACCAGGCGCCATCGACTACAAAATACCAAGGTACGGGTTGGTTGTCTATGTCTTTCTTAAGAAATTCATGGCAGTGAGATATCAGCCTAGGATATCACATTTTTTATTGTATCTTCTTAAACCATACTATATACAATATCACGTTTGTCATAGCTATAATTCAGTGTCTATCTCGCTAAGATAAACTTTCGCGATTGTACCGCTTTATGGGCTAGTTCCCGACCAATTGTATTATTTTCTCACGAACTGGTGCCCAATCATGCAGACATTTATACAGGTATTTAATCCGATTTTCATCTAATGTTGGCTGGGTTTCTAATTTCGCGACATCTTTATTGCGAATATAGCGAATTTTAATCGCGCGAGAATATTACTAACTCTACAGTAGGAGTCCAATCTAAAGTAATATCATATTTGATGCTTAACCGAAATCGAGAAAGCCCTGTACTTTGATTTAGTGAAATCCTCTCTATCCTTCACAAAGTGGGATACTTTAGACTAACATCAGACTTTCATCTTGTCAACCAGACAACTATGACCGATAAGCGATATGGACTTGTTAATCTGACTTGGGACTAATATTATATCATCTTTCTATAGTTAAGTAATATAACAATTTCAATTTTTAAAGGAAAGTTTTTTACTTAACTGGCATTCTAGCTTTTATCAGTGTGAATCTACTGATACTATAAAGATGTGATATCATAATTATATTGGATACTTACTCGGACAGTGATGAGTGTTACAGGATGTGCTGCTGGAATAAGCATTCCCACAGGACGCTCCCCCGTACTGTGGTGTAGGACTGGTGCATGTCCTTTCTCTGTACTTAGTTCCCCCTCCACAAGTTACTGAGCAAGCACCGTAACTCCCCCAGCTTGCCCACCCACCATTAACTACAAATAAAAAGGATGCATCTTATTGTCACTGGTGTATGTTTTAAAACATAATCATTTCGCCCTTTCCTTTTTCTCGAATAAAGCAAAAGAAGGGGCTTTGAAAATGTTATGATTTAGTTGAAAAACGTAAAGAATATCTGCCAACGTTGAGTTATAAATTTAATGTACATCAAGGCAGATAACACAAACCTGCTTAATGAATAAATAGACATACTGTATATTATCGTTTAAGTATGTTTCTAGCTACCAAACCAAGTCATAATACTGATATATTATTGTCCGTCACCATTAAAACACATATCTAATGGAAATGTATTAAACGAGGTGAAACTACTCACCAATTCATAATTTTCCAATAGAGATGCAGTTATATACGTACTTGGGCAGTGGTGAGTATTACATGTAGCACTGCTGGTATCGGCATTACCACAGGACGCTCCACCATACTGTGGAGTAGGATTAGAACATGTTCTGCTCCTGTACTTATTACCTCCTCCACAGGTCACTGAACAGGAACCGTAACTTCCCCAAGCGGACCATGCTCCATCAACTACAAACCAAAGAGAATGAAATGTTTGTCTTGTGTTTTCTACTGTCATTTGATCAACTATGGACTGTTATAAGGTTAATGCATATTAGAATAGATTTCGTGCTTGGATGCTAAAAACTCGAAATAATCCGACATCAGAAACAGGCACATTCTGAAAAATGCATTGGTTTACTATTAAAGACAATAAGCCGCGCCTATAGGGTTTTTGTAAGTACCATATGTATAGCAAGCTTTGCAGCTTTTCTGCAAACTTGTAGTGTATCATGTTACAAATTCTAGAGTTGTTATAGATAGAAAATCTAAGTGTCACGTTTTAAATATGTGTCGACTGGGCTGACGTTTACTAGTGGTAAGTTTCCAGGGATTTATATAACAATGTTTAAATAATATTTTAGGTTATGTCTTAAGTAATTTTGTTAGTGGTACTATTTAAAGGTGTCACTTATATCCTTTTATCATGTGACGCTGTTCCCCTGAACCACAGTTTCACAGAGACATACGCAGGACTCCAGAAGCAGCAAGGACAGTGATATTTACTTGGACAAGCACCGGTGTTGCACGAAGCACTGCCTTCGTTTGAGTTAGGACAATCATTTCCACCATGGGCAGGTGCCGGATTTGTGCACGTACGGTATCGTTTTTTCACGCCTCCTCCACAAGTTCTTGAGCACGACCCATAGCTACCCCAACTGGCCCATGCGCCATGAACTAGAAAATTAACAACAATAGAATGAAAGGTAATGGAATATGATTTTTTTGAAACTGGAACTAGGTGGCCCCGAAAAATTCCGATTCCATATGATATTTGGTGGTATACTCATACAATTGTGTTATAGAAATAGTTATTCCTTTCAAAAAAGACGAACAAAAAACACTTTATTGACATAGTTTTACCTACAACATGTTATTTCCCAACCTAAGTGATTAATAATTGTGGTTTCGTGTTTGGGTATTTGGTTCCTCGTTTCATCTAGTAAGGCTGTAGAGACTGCTATAGTTTTGTCGGTTAGAATGTTGGTCTACGTAACATCAGTTAAAGATACGACAAGAGTTCTGGAGTTTCACATGAAACGGACTGGTTGCTGCTGTCCTGGTCATGTCCATGGACAAGACGCCTTACCACAATTTCTCTGGATAGTATGAAACGGACATAATGTATGTTGTTCAATGACGTAGCAACAAAATTCGAAAAAGAAGACTTCGCGATCTAAAATAATCCTAACTGATCACGGGTCGATAAGCCAAAACAAAAACAAAACAAAAACAAAAAAAAAACAAAAAAAAGAAAGAGAAAACAAACAAACAAACAAACCATGCACTGATTAATTTTTTGTTCTTGATTATTGATAAATAAAATCACCTGCGCAGCTCTGTGTGTTACAAGATGTATCTTGACTACTGCTTCCAGCGCAATCTTTCCCACCATGTGCTTTTGCCGGGTTGCTACATGTCCGTGACCTTCTCTTTGTTCCGCCTCCACATGTTCTGGTACAGGACGTCCATGAACCCCAATTAGCCCAATTACCATCAACTATAACAGGCAACTTGTTGATTTCAGCATTATCATTACCAACATTTTTAGAAGGGCGTGGTCACAACAAATATTTCAAGACTATTTCAAAAGGATTTTCAAGGAATTGAAAAACATTACTCTTTCCTTTTATCAGTATTTATTTTAATGCCATCTAACAACCATGAGTTGATTTACCAGTCTTCATCTTTAGAGTTACACATACAATGATATTTAAAGCTTATTTAATTGAATTCTTTAAAACATTTGTGATCATAAAAGATGAAAACTATTTTCTTAATTTCATGAAAAAAAAACATTCACATATTTTGTTCTCTTCCTGATCATTTCTCTTTACTTACTTGGACATGCGCTCTTTGTACAAGATTTAGCCTCTGAACTACTTCCAGAACAAGAGTTTCCGCCATACTGAGGTGTCGGATTGTTACACGAACGAGTCCTGGTTTGGGTACCACTGGCGCACGTCACAGAACACGCACCCCATCCTCCCCAGCTGGAGTAACCCCCATGTACTGACAAAAGTATTTATGTATCAAGTAATTTTAGCATAAACTAATACTTTACCCTAACTCTTTTTTTTTTTTTTTTTTTTCTTAATGCAGATATTTATTCCAAGATGTCATACTTTTCTTAATTTGAAACTTTTCTATATATTTATGACAATTATTCCAATATCAGATCGTGGTAGACATGTTACATATTTTATCGAAATTTTATCCTGGTAGCATGTTTTAAGTGAATTGATTTGGCAGTTATTATAGTCAATTGATGGGAATTTAATACGCAAATTTTTTCCGATATATTACTTTAATGGACGAAGTCAGCCATCGAATGTCCTCACCTGGACAGTAGTTTGAAGGAGTACATGTTTTGCTTTGTGATCCAGAGCCGGAACATTGCTTTCCATCATACTTCGGTGCTGGATTGCTGCATGGCCTCGTTCTGGTAGTTGTTCCACTTGTGGTGCCTCCTGTGGCAGATTTACAAGACACCGAGCATGTAGCCCATGATCCCCACGATGCCCAGGCACCATCAACTGAAAACCAAAGGTTTAATTTATTTCAGTAATGAATACAGGCATGTTTATAGAAACCAAAATTTGCATTTTCTACAGTCAACTCAACGTACAGGAATCAATTTGAAAGTTTGATATTAGAGCAATGCTAGTTGTATCATTTCAGCTGCAAAAGACTAAATCATTTAATGTTATCCAGGAATGTTTGGCATAACAAATGACAATTAGATCATGATGATTTATCAATCACAACTCATACTTACTCGGTGGAGGTTTCGCACAATCTTCTTCCACCTGTCCATCACCATCATCATCTGCGAATATGAATTGATGAAAGGAAGTGCAAATACACATTTCTAAGACACATGCATAATAGTTTGATTGACACACAGATTTGTTAACACGCCAATCAACTACACCATCACAGATTTTTCTTTTTCATTTATTTATTTGAATTTAGGAATCATTGAAGCATCAAACCAGATTTTAAAAAATGTCATTCTTCTTCATAGTTGACTCTCACTTATATTTTATATTTAAGTCTGATGTGTCAAACTTGACATTTATTTTAGTGGGTCATAGGTCTATCTACTGACGGGAAGGCGCGAATACCTTTAACACAAGTCACGCAGTATTTGATTCAATTTAGTTTTTTTTTTTTATATATATATTGCCATCACAGAGTCACTTTAAATAAAATACGAACAAAAATTAATGCTCTATTGTTTGAAGAACTGGCGTTAAATCAAATTAATAAATCAGCACGTTAATAACAGTCAGCAAACAGTTTCAAAAGTGGGGCTGCAGTGGCCAATTGGTTGAGGCGTCTGACCGTCTTTATCACTGGCGTTCCACCTCTGAGTCGTAGGTTCGAGGACTAAATGGAGCAATCGCCAGATAATAACCGCAATCCTGGCTTGCCCTTATATGCCCAGCCTCAATATTGATCATACACACCTCTACGTTGATTCTCTACAGTGCACAACTCCTCATCAATTAGGCCGTCACAATCATTGTCAACACCGTCTCCAACAACAGTGGCAGTTGGCACACATATCTGGAACGAATGTGAATATTGTTTTCACGGTATATACATACGGAATTTTACTTGTTTACTTCTACAACATATATTTACGTAAATGCTGAAATGAATTGTCAGGTGATATAATTTCTATTGGCTAGAATTGTGCATAAATCCCGAACGCATCCGTAAGCTTCTATTTTTTGTATAGCAAAGATTGTTCCGCAATAATTTGTCAGACAATATGTTTATTCTGCTGTTGATAACAAAAACAAAGACAGCAAGTATATCAAAGGTTAGAGGGCGTTTTACCGTGTTGATGCCCGCCATTCTCATGCCTGTAGTAAACCCGTACGTCTCATAGTTTGCTTGACCGTACAGATATCCTCCAAAGATGGAGATAGGAGACGTGTGACGTACAGTGTGGGACCCCTCGGACACACTGATGTAGCCCCCTACGTAATCCGTACCGCTGATTTTGTTATACTTCGTGTTTGATGGGAAGGCATTGCCATCAACCCTCAGTCCTGATTTCTCAGATTCCTTGATGATAAACATGAAATAGTTGTTGTAAGAGCCGAGAGAGTACTTTGGTGTTGTAAATGTGTAGTCGGCTCCGTATTGTTCCACCGGTGGAATGATCATCATCATAGGATCCGATTTTTCTCTTGATGACTGTTGACTGAGGCAAAACTGAACAACTAATATTGGCTTGTCCGATTCAACAAGACAATATGCCTTCGAAGATATTGTTTTCTGAACCATTTTTCCAGGGTTATTTAAGGTAAACGAGCTCGAGTAACCGCCACTGATTTTTACTTTGGTGTTACTTTCACTGGCTATAAATTTGAAATAATCACCAACCGTCCTCAGTGGGACTGGAACAGTAACAAATCGCTTACCCCACGTAGAAACTGGTGTTAAATGTTCAACCAAATGATCAGAACTGCCTCCTCTGCCAATATTAGTTTTCATGTTTCCACTGAACACTGAGACAGCTTTGCTAGATTCGATGTATGTCCCTGTAAGATCCCCGTAAGTGACAAGTTGAAATGTATCGAACCTGTTCATTGTAACAGTGAGAGTATTACCCTTTTTGTAGTTCCTTCCTCCCCAAGATATATACCGACTTCCAATGGCTTCTCCTACCGTGATACTGACTGAAGTGCTGTCGTTTACTGCGACAATCATAAGTTCACACTGTCTGGATGGAGGGTAGTATGTGACAGCGTAGTATTCTGTTCCGAGGACGTCAGTTGGAAGACCAAGGAAGGCATCACACGAGTATGTCTCCTTGTTTACACCATAGATAACTACCTCGTCATCAGCGGTGATCCATACGGCCTTGGAACTCATCTCGTTGCCTTTCATTCGAATACGGGGATGGAAGAACAGTTGTTTCACAGTTCCGGCAGTGACAGAGAAGGCAGAGTTGATCCCCGCGGCGCTGTATCTCGGGGCGGTCACCCGTACATTGACTGTGGTGGTCCTCATGGTTGTGATAAAGAGTTCGACGTTTATAGACTCGGCAATGTTCTGCATATAGCCAATGATAAACTCTGTACCTCGATTGTCAGGTGCCCCTGACAAAAACGAAAGTGGACTTAGCAGAAATCTATTTGAAATCATGAAAAATGTATAGTTAGAAAGAGATAATTGAACATTTTTATGGGAACTTTTACACGCGAAGTCATAAAATATATATTCTTATTTGAATATTTAAACCTTTATCATCTTCAAATTTGATGACAGTTGTGTAGAATGAGCGTATCCCAAAACAAATAATGACTTCCAAAGGGAAATTGAAACAAATTCAATTATGGTACATATCAAATGCAACGCCTTTATAACATAAACCTAAAAATATGATACTGAAAGCAAAGCGAAAAATGGCAATTTTACATGAAGCCACATTTCTGAATTCTGTGGTATCTAATGAGATCGAAATTGCTTTACCTTCAATTACTGGAGCAAGCGAACAAACCAGGGCCAACAGCGCTGCAGCCACAAGCTCTAATGAATAAAAATGGTTTCATAGTTATGTCATTTGTGTTTTGTTGAACAATGAACACGCATACTTCATTTCGGATCCTTTTACATAGCTAATTATAGTAAAGACAAGTAGGACATGAATTTATTATTTCAAAACTGATAACCCTTGTCAAAAATCTATAAATACGATGGTAAAATAGTTGTTTCCCCCTCTTTTCAAAATGTTTGCAGTTAATAATTTTGGGGTTTTTTTTAACTTTTGTGAATCAAACGGAAGATTTTCTTGAGAGAATTGTTCATCCTTGATATTTAGATTTATCAGCAAAGTCTAGATACAGCAGGTTATTTATAGAAAGTAAAATCAAACAGTTTTACTAATGTTATGTATGCCGTTTTAAGAGAAAGTGTTAGGTTAGTTTTACGAATATATATCTAATTTATTAAAGTAAATCATAGATCTATTATCAGAACTAGCCATTGCCATATTCATTTAAAGCATATACATTATTGTTATAGATGCAATTTCTGTCAATCAAATTATCTATCCGATTAATTAACGAAACCTTTCGTGATCAGCCACATCACTTTTCTTGTCTGTCACAAATTTTGCGTTTAATTATTTTATCAAAGATGTTAAGCCGCCCAGCGAAGTTTTACTTTTGTTATTCCATTTAGTAGTACTATCATTTTTCTTTTGATTTCTTCCTTTCTTCCGCCTGGAATGTTTCTGCTAACTTTTCCGCATATTTTTATATCATTTCTCATGGAAAATAAACACAGCCGTCTGCTTTGTTAAAACGAAAATATCATCCGATTGCGATAACATTTAGTAAATATTAAGACATTCCAAGCATACACAATATTCCTTACCTGGTTGAGTTAATGACCACCTTTAACATTGATTATGACTGCAGATGTAGTTTAGGATGTATAAAATAATTTATCATTTCATAAAGAGTACATTAAGATATGTATCTCTATCATTAGTACCAAAACGGACAAAAGAACACAATTCAAAGAAACGAATATGTACGAACCCATGGTGGCAGCAGGTTAATGGTCCAGCAGCTCAGCTAGAATGTTACTGCTCTGGTGTTTATAGGTTATATATCCCATAATATAATATACTGTTTTGGCACACCCATTGTCTCATAAAAAGGCGATTATTGTAAGCGGATGTATAACAATTACAAAGATTATGTAGGATCTAGGTCATATGTTAAGATTACTTTGAGTACACTGAAGAAGAAACGATTGAAAATGGTTATCTTATAATTCACATACATATTTCTGATTGCTATTTATTTCGTGAAAATTATGTTTTCCTTTTTCGTTTCATAGGATACAATATTTTGTTATTTAACAAAACCGACCTAGAAGGAGAAAATGATTGTTCGATACAGTTCTGCTCATTGTTTGACTCTTCTGTATTATATTCTTTTGTTTGTAATCAAGTTGTGTTTTTACGAATATTATTAAAAATAATGTCTTCAGAGCGGAATGAGATAATGTAGGTAACTTCGTAGTATACGAATACCACTCTTTGTCCTTCACATTAATCGAGTAATGAATATGTGATTCAACTATATGCTAAGTGGCCTCCATATTATGTCAGAAAACATTCATATACATGTAGAAGGGTCATTATTTTTATGTGAATACGTTGCCCTGCATATCTAGTTAAGCAACTATATATTTCGGAAATTTGAGTGAAAGTATTTTCTTTTGTTTAATTCTCAACGAAATTGATATAATCTTCGATTTTATGAAACTTTGCATATGGCACATCAATTGTGAGTTTAAGTTTATTTGAAATTCTCACTTATCAATTTGTTTGTATTTCGTTCTGAAATCCATTAGTTCATTTGAATTTTACCATGAAATAAATTGATTTATTTGAATTTCGTTCTTAAATATTCTGATTTATAATTTAATTTCGTTCTAAAATGAATGAATATAATTCAATTTTGTTCTTATATTATTTAGCTATGTGAATTCCATTCTGAAATGAATTTATTTATTTAAGTTTCGTTCCGAAATGCATGTATTTAATTACGTTCTTACATTATTGGGATTTTTACAATGATCAAGTGTATAAGTATAAGTAAAATGGATAAAAACCGGTCAGGTGTTAAAAAAGACAAAAGAAAAAAATATGGGATTAAAAAATTTAAAGACTGAATGTATTCTCTTATCAATCTTAAAGCTTGGTAATGTTTTGCTATACTGTTCATAAGGCTATCGACTTTACTTAAACTTTCATAACCTATAATATTTTTGTAATCTAGTTTAAGTTTAAATCCCTCCTTAATCGTTTGTGAATTATGTATGACCGGATCAGGTCACCGTGTTAATGATTATTGTTATCCAAATAAAACTACAGACATTTAAGGTTGAGAGAGTATAAAGTAGACCCATGTATATTTCCGATTAGTTGTGAAAGATGTTTCACCAATCATCTTGCTCAATACTTAGACATCTTTACATCTTTTTTTTTTTTTTTTTTTTTTTGATTGTTTTTTTTTTTTAGTTATTTATCTGTATATTTTTGTTGTTTGTTGTTTTCGGTGAAAATGACTTAATCCACTAATTCATGCTTGATATTTACATAACAACGGGAGATTTTATGACTTACTAGTAATTAATGAGTAGTGTTTATGTATACTCTACATACAGAAAACTAAAAGATTTGTATGAATTGAAAATGGCCACCATAAGGTGACAAGTTTATTAGAAATTATACGAAACATCTGTAAATATTAACAAGATACATACAAGTATTATAAAAATACAGTATTTATATAATTCTCACACTTACTATAAAGGTGGGGGTTCGGTAGAACAACGCCACAAAGTGGAAAAATTACTGTGTAAACAGTAATTTTTAAACTTCCCCACCAAAGTATATACTTTTACACTAAAATTGTATATTTACTAACTTCTAAAAAGAGACAGCACAACATAAGCAATTATCATATCAATGTAACTAAAAATAAAATTGATACACAGTAGGGTTCGATGAATCATCCAACCGGATGAGAAAACATGATTAAGATACTATACATGTATACAACTTTACAATAAAAAAACCCTGACCAGCCCAAGCAGGCCAGGAAATTGTTATGTCCATGCGTCAATTGATTTCATGGTACAGAAGAAAAAAGTCACAGTAGTCCAGGTTTCGACATGGAAAACAAATAACTCCAAGTTCGATTGATACCGTGTCAATCCGTATCAATGTTGTTCAAATAGCGAAATGAAAGTTCAGACGACAGGGTAAAGAGACAGGTGCCAACTAAATTTATAAAAATCATACATAATTAGGAACAAAAAGCATCAACCAGAAGCCGGCACAGAAGCCGGCCCAAGCAAGCTACTGCAAAAAAGTCTTCATTGAAACAATAAATAGTACATGTATAGGTTAAATGTTTCATTTATTACAAATAAAATTACACATAAATTATAGAGGTCAACCGGCCCAAGCAGGCTCAACAAAGAATGTGAAAAAAAGAAAACTTTAAACTACAGAATTTGCTCGGAGATATTTCCTAAACGCTGATGAATGCCATCTGCCCATTGAACAGATCTGAGCATCAGAATAGCCTTGTTCAGCAGCATATGAGGCAGCACCAATTCTGAAGCTATGACCTTTGTAGCAAGTGCTATCCAACTTACAGAAAGCCAGACATTTGTGTAACTGCTTATCAAAAAGGGGGCGTGGGACCGGTGTGTTGCTTGAAGTCAGAAAAAGGGGGCCAGGATTTGGGCCCCTTGCACACAAATAATCACGCAAGGCTGCAGCAGCAGACATTTGTGTTGGTCCATGCCCAAAATTAATTTCATGCCGAGTTTGTGTTAGATTATGCTTAAAGCGACTAAAGAATACTCGAACTACCAGACTGGAATTATCTACTTCTAACTTTACATCAGAAAGAACTAAATTGTTTTGACCAAGACCAGTCTTTGTAATTTCACCTACCCGTGCAAAGGCATTGAAAGCAAATAAAAACATTGCTTGAAATAGGAGCCTTTGGTAGGGCGAAGTTGCTCTGATAGCAACTGCCTGTATAAGATGGTTTAATATGGGAACAGTGATAGGTAGTCGCATATCGGAAGAGGGTGACAAACGATATGCTCCGGAACCCAGCTTCTTAACTAAGAATGAAGAAGTTGGATCAGAATTGTGCAGAAGTTTATGCACATGTGCTATGGCTGAAAGATAGGTTGAAATGGTCTTGGGGGAATATTTACAATAAAATAAATGAGCGACAAAAAGAGATATATGAGCTGGAGTCAACTGATTACTAAAAGGGTCGAAATGATTAGCCGAGGCAAACTCCTGAAAAATGATGAGTGCTCTGTCATATATAGTACGAGTTGATGTTCAATGACTGGAAGAAGTTGGCGGGTGCAAGATGATTGGGAACTGTGGTTGGTAACTGATCTGCTTGTGGGGCCAGAGTCCTGAATCGAGCAATCTGTAACCGAGAAAGTGAATCAGCAAGACTGTTGCGGCAGCCTGGAACATGTCTACATCTAAAGTTTAAGTTAAGTTCCAGGCATTTCAGAACTAAACATCTAACCACCTTCAGAAGTATAGCATCCTTACTGGTTTGCTTATTGATCACAGAAACAAGTGCTTCATTGTCGGTGTAAAAAAGGATTGAGTGGTTAGACCACAGGCGACCCCAAGTGTACAATGCAAGCAATATAGGATAAAATTCTAAAATAGAAATATGCAAATTCTTGCATGTTTGTGGGAACGCCCCATATAACCAACTATGTTTGAAAATTGCTCCATAGCCAATCGTAGAGGAAGCATCTGTATATAACTGCAATGTGTAGCTGGACAAAAACTTTTCCTCTATGAAAATTGTACGACCATTGTATGTTTCAAGAAAGTGTAGCCAAACTCTTTCAGATCTGCCTTTGCTTCTAGTGTTAACCTAATGTGATGATGCGGTTGAAGAACACCTATAGTTAAATTGATCAAACGTCTGAGAAAAGGTCGACCCGGCATAATGACAGAACATGCAAAATTAAGAAGGCCTACCAATGACTGTAGATCTTTGAGCGTACACTTAGCCTTTCCTAATAGAGTATGGATAGCTGTTGCAGCTTTCTCTACTTTATCTGTTGGCAATGAAGCCGTAGATGTAACACTATCCAGCATTATACCTACAAATGCCATCTGTTGACATGGGAGGAAAGTTTTTTCCTCTGCAATAGGAACTCCTACTGAGCTACACATAAAAATGAATTGTTGTAAAGCAGCAGTAGCCTCTTCCTGTGTTTCAGCCACGAACATAAAATCATCTAAAATGTGGATGACATTTCTACAACCTAACTTAGTGACTGCTATCCATTCTAAAGCGGTACTAAAAGCCTCGAAAATTTTGCAAGAGGTGGAGCAACCCATTGGTAAACAGGTGTCATAATAATACTGGTTATTGAATTGAAGGAAAATCCCAGTAAATTGTGGTCAAGGGGATGTACTGGTATAATTCGTAATGCAGACTTGATGTCTGTATTTGCCATGTAGCACCCCGTCCCACATTGTTTCACTTTTGATATAGCATCTTCAATGCCTGCATAATGTACCTCAGAAGCCTCGGGAGGAATACCACTGTTAACGGAAGAACCATGGCGAGGGTAAGATAGATGGTGAATAAGACGAAAATCTCCTGGGGATTTCTTTGGTACCAAGCCAAGGGGAGATAGTTTGAAATCTGTTAGAGGTGGAGTGGGAAATGGACCCAATACACGAACCAGTTTAACCTCCTTATCAATTTTACTCTAAACAACAGAAGGGTTGGACAGAGCCGACTGTAAATTGGGGCTGCTCTGAGGACCCTGTGACCCTTGAAACTCTAAACGGAAACCTGTAGTAAAACCCTGAATAAGGTAATAAAGGAGCTTGGGGTTATAACCTTCTAGGTAGTCTTTGAGTTTCTCTACATTAATAGAGGTTGTGACAGAGGAGGTGGGATTATGACAGAGCTTGCTCTGAGGAAGATTTATTATATTTTTCTGAACATTTGAATGGGGGTGTTTTCCCCCACACTTTCCACAAATGTGCGAGTACTTGCACCCTTCGCAGTGGGTGCGTTTGTTATAGCGAAAGCAGGTACCGGCATGGGGACGAAAATTATTGGTAGTAGCCGATTGAAATGTCATGGCATAACCAGAATTTCTGCGATAAAGAGAAGGGTTCTTTAATCTGGATGAAGTCATGGCTGTGCAGTATAACTCCTGCTCTGAAGAACCCCAATCCATATCCATGGCTGGTTGTTTAAGGCGGCGGAAACTAGTATCTTAGCTGTACCAGTTTCCTCCTGCCTTCGCAATATTTCGGACAACATGTTGGTATGTAGCCAGACCCTTAGTGCATTCAGGGTATTTCTGTCGATAGACAGATGAAAAAATGCTAAATGCATCAGTCCATCTTTCAACTGTTAAAATTTTCTTATGATGTGCCTGAGTCAAGCCAACACTGCCACTGTGATCTAATTGCAATGTATATTTCAAATAAGTTTGGTCATGGTCATCCAATATCTGTGACAAATCAACAAACTCACCCTCCCATATTTTTTGCTTTAATTTAGGAGACACCTTCTGGTGAAGGGGCCTACAAGACACTTGTGGTGGCTTGGCTGCAGGCAAGTCATTTACATTAAAATTTGCAAATAAACTGTTACTTAATGTATTGGCACCTGTCTCAAGAGAATGTGCTGAAAACACCGTAGCCTCCCGCGCTTCAGAAGTTGCACTGCCCGCAGCAGCAGCTGGGACAGTTACCGCATCAGGCCTTTGTGCAGGAGTTTTTTGGATTTCCTGCATAACTGCAGCTGTTACTGTCTTAGTGATAAGTGCCAAAGTGTCTGGTGCTAGACCCAGGTTATCTGTGGTGGATCCAGGAACCAAGCTGGAAGAAGTTAGCTGAGCCTGCGACTGAAGTGTGGCAGTGCTGTCCAAAGACGCCTCAGCTGCATTACGCTTTCTGCCTATATTTCTTGTTGGCTTTGGTCCCATTGCTGATAGCTAAATAGTAAAGAGATAATAAGATATGAATAAGTTGTCCAAAAATTACACCATGGAACCAACAGAATTGAATGTTATGGAGATATTAAGATATTGAACTAATTTGATGCATGTAGGGTGTTCAGTAAACTCCTGAATGTGAAAACAATTATACAGAGCATGTGATTTGAAAGAAAAATGGTGGAGGGCAGGAGGTTGAATCATCTTAAGTCATATGAAAGATCAAAGTGGTATAAATAAATCAGGGCTAACCAAATACTCTACCCAAACCTGGGTATAGGAATGTGTCCCTCAAAACCAGTTAACACTGGGCTATTCAATGTCATGATGTCAAATGAATGATTACAACCTTTGTGCCCCTACAAGATACCAAGAACCTGTAGTGCAGGTAAAATAATCATATAAAATTAACAGGGCTCAAAATTTACCCAAACCTGGGTAATAACATCCCTCAAAATCAGTTAACACTGGGCTGTTCAAAATCATGACATCAATTGAATGATTACAACCTTTGTGCCCCTACAAGGTACCAAGTACCTGTAGTGCAGGTAAAATAATCATATAAAATCATCAGGGCTCAAAATTTACCCAAACCTGGGTAATAACATCCCTCAAAACCAGTTAACACTGGGCTGTTCATACATATATCGGATGTCAAATGTATACAGCAAATGGAAATTACATAAAACATGTACATAGAGATACGAGATACACTATTGCTGAGCTCGGTGTACAATTTTTTTTTTCAAATCAAACCAAATTAACCTCAAGTATCAGCCACAAGCCAACTGAAATTTAAGTATTAAACCAATAGTATATGAAAGAGAGCTACATTAGTAGTAAAGTAAATTTAAACATGATATGTGAAGCTGTATATGAAGATATTGAATGGAAATTGGGTGCCAAATGTTTATAAATGCCGAGACAAAATTAATTCACAATGTAGGCTTCCACTGCATATAATGATGAACTCACTAGCATGTAATATATATACACAATATAACTCAACCTAGATGGTTAACATCTGAATATCAGTGTTATAATAACATCTGAACTCAAATAAGAACAAGAAAGCAGATATTTGGTATACCTACCATGTTTATATGCCATACATTTGGAACATGCATGTTTAATGGCCACTCTGATGTTTCTATAAAACTTGGTAGTACCCAGGGAATTCAGGTGACATCCATCATGCAAAAATAAGGTGCTGGGACTATCATGCATGCGTTTATGATATTGAAGGCCTTCTTGTGATGGAATCAATTGAGATAACCGTGTGTTTGTTTCCACACGACGTAACTCGTAGCGATGTGGTTGCATGCCTCGTGGACTAGGACGTTTGAAAATGTCACAAATGAATATAAACATTACGCCGTAGCGATGACGTAGGTGGCTAGCAAAAGTAATAATGTCAATAGCTAATTGTGTGGGTGTGACGAAATGGCCGCACAAATCATTACCGCCTATCTGAAGAATTATAGCATGCGGTTGAAACGACACTAACAACTCATGCAAATGTACACTTTTCCGTAGCCTATCAACGGTGCCACCGGAGTAACCAGCCAGACGAATCTCAGTCTGTGATAAATTAAAATCTGGTGACAAACTAGGTTCAATATTCGAGTCGACGAATAAAACTATGCCCCAGGACTAAACAACGATACTGTTCACTAGACATGCTTATGTGTAAAATATATACTTAAATGTAACCAATCCAAGGAGTAAGTACGATGATCCAGACAAAGAAATGGCCAGGGGAAGAAAAACACCTCCGTCACAGCAGAGACGTCTCTGGTCACAGCTTCTCCAGTGTTGACAGTAAAAGCAGTCCAAGCGGAACGGCGAAGTATAGATCAAAATTAAAAGCGTCCGTCACTCAGATCCAGATATAAGGAAAAGAATAATATATATATATTTTTTTTGTTTTTTTGTAGACTAAGTTCAAATTAATTTCAGCAATTCTTTGCAAACAAAATGGCGCCAGTGAAAATTTTTTTCTCTAATGAAATCTATACCTTATGAGCCAATCAGAAAGCTGGATTCCTAATGACGTCAATCGCTTAATTCTCAGCCAATCAGAAACAAGCTAATTTTCATATAATGATATAATCGGAATTATAAAACACATTGTCAAACGCCTATTAAGCAAAATATACGTAACTTGAAAAATAGTCATATCGTGTGCGGATTAACATTCGAATTAATAGCGCTTAAAGAGAAATAAAATTCGAACACAAAAACATTTGTTTCCTTTATTACATAACAAAACACAAAATAATGATATCGTGTGTATGTACAACAAGCTTATATTGATGACTGTTGATGTCATAGTTAAAGTAAAAACCTAACTGAAGCAATAAAATATTAAAGATAGCAAGTAACATAAGTTAGAATTAGTTATCATCATCAGTCATCTACAATCGATGTCCTCTTACTGAGTCTTGTTTCTGGGCCGAAAGCAATAGATTATTAATCCTTACGAGTACATCTTTCTAATCGCTTTGCTAATGTTATATAATGGTGTATGGAGATCTTGATGGTTCCGTTGATAAAGTGTCGCTCTGTGTACTCTGTGTACTCTGACTTTATAGGATGATCAGAGTTGTTGGGTGTTACCATCCCTACTCCAGCTGTTCGTGCTACTCAGAAGGAAATTAGACCGTGGTTGTGTCCCTGGGCAATACATTTAACCCATAACGTTCAACAATTTTATCTTGATTGTCTATTGAAAATAAGTATTTTTAGAAGAAAGATAAGTAATTGATAACCGATATGATTATTTGAAAAAAAAAGATATGAAAATAAGACATTGTGACTGTTGTATTCCGGTCGTCCACTTAGTTATAACGATGTAATATCGGTATGTAGAACAATGGTAATCACATACTTTATGATAATTGATTTTCGTGGGAGTTTATTTTCGTTGAATTCCTTGTTACTCGTAATTCAGGAATTCATGTATCCACGAAAGGATTATCAGGGAATTTTTCGTGAATTGAAGTAACAACGGATTTTGTGAGCCATGTTCATTCACGGATTCAAGTGCCAAGTTTTTTAACACCACACAATCGGAGCCTGAAGAATGAAATAGTATACAGACAACTCCGTCTAGAAGGCTCGGGGTAGGCCCGTACAAATTTATGTGCCTTAGAATATCTCCAGATAGATCACAGGAAACAAATCACACATTTGAAAACAACCATTAGCATGTTCTGCTTATGATAAGAACCGCTGCAACGGCGCACATCACCAACGATAGAATTCCTGTCCTAGACGTTCCTGCAAAATGCAAGGAAAATACGTATAAAATTGATATAACAACGAGCTTCATTCACAATGATGATTTTATAGTTAAGACACATGAACTGCTTGGTAATTGAGATAAATGAATTCTCCATTTCGTTATCATTTTTTTTCAATGGACATTATGATAATTGAAACCTGTTTATATCTGCTTTTTGTATTTATAAACATTGCTTGAAATTATATCTGAAATGTTCATCTATTATTCCTTGACAATCATAATCATGAAATAGTATGAATTCTAATAATTGTATGTTTTGGATATTATAACTAGATATTAGTAAATACTGTTTTGATTTGAGGGAGTATATGATTTCAACAAAATTTTTATGTAGAAAAGAGATATTTTTCAAATGAAGTAAAACGCATTCTGATTTTCTGCATTATTCTTATTTTCAATGGATATTATGTTGATCGTATTCTATCCTCGAAACTAATGAGACAAAGAATTACAACGGAATATATATCATCATTATCATACCGTCAGCCCCGCTCTCACAGGAGGCGATCAGTGCTCCGCTACACCCGGCATAATTAGCAGTCTCGTCACTTCCGTCATCACAGTCATTAAAACAGTCACACTGGAACTCTCTGTTGATACATTTCATTGCTCCAGACTCGCAGGTAAACCAGCCGGTAGGACAGAGCTGATAAAAAATGCAGAGATCTTGTATAAATAAAAATAGTGTCAAGACTTTTTAGAGTAAAGCATCATCAAAAAGTTGGTTGTTTTACACATTTTACCAAACAATCCAGAATGCTGTGAAGGCCTAAACTGCTACAACAAAAATGGGTCGTAGATGGAAATTTTTATTTTTATTTTTGTAGGATCAAATTAATAAAAACAAAACCGTATACGGCAACGTTTCTCTGCCTTTGCATAGAATTATTCGGCTAAAACGCTTGCATGCACAAAACGTTACTGGATTTCACACACACATATACAAAGAACAAGTCATGTTAATTACAAAGAGTATCGAGGTTATGAAACTTTGATGATGTCAATATGGTGGTATATTAACAGGTAAAATATATTGAATAAGAACAACTTAAGAAGTCAACATGGTTCTATAAAGTCCATACAAAAATATTCTGACAGTTGTACAAACTGGCTGTTGTTGTCTAATCTGTGTTTACCTGACATTGAATTTTGCCTGATGACGGACGACATAAAGATTGCTCAACGAGGAAACATAGATCCAAACGGCATTGGATATAACTGCTCATAAATCTATTTGTTCATTACAACATTTAAAATCGCTTATTTCAACAGTTCTATCGAATTACCGCACTTGCTAACATACAGCTGTTTTCCGTCACTGCCGAATACAGCAATAATATATGTGTCATGTTTAATCAGACATTGGTGGTGCCAGTTTCATGACAAATATATATACTTATATAATACATTGCCCTTTAGAATGAAAATATGCTGACTATGATTGAAAGATTGCCGTTTTACATTATTAACTTGTAAATATAACATATAACAAATACAAAATATGTTACAAAAAATGTTTTTTGAAATGAATCGTCAAGCAGTATTATCGTGGTTACGGTACAAAAATGAAATAAAATTAAAAACTCATTTTCCATTTTTATAACTTTTATGACTGGAAATATTAATCACATGTTTTAAATATGTACACATAATAAACATATTAAAGTAATAATTGGACGAGAAGGCCGAAACCTCATTCGTCCGTTTCAATTCTATGCTCTTCAAATTGTGTTTTATTGCGCCATATATTTATAAATAATGCCTTCGAATAAACGTTTGTATATTTCATAAGAATAATACAGAAATAACGACATGTCAACAAAATCTTAATTCAAACACAAATAGTTGAACCGAGGACAATGTGAATGATAAAACCAGGTATTCTGTAAGTTGTTCTGGAAAAGCTTTCCCATCCAAACTGTAAAAAATGTTTTCATGTGATTTTGATTTACTCTACCTGTTGGTAAACACCGGCAGCCGCAGCTGGACACGAGTTAGAATTACAATCCGCTAGATCACCAGAGTCACCAGAACAAGTAAGACCACCATTCTGAGGACGAGGATCATCACAGAGTCTTGAACGTGATTGCTTCCCACCTCCACAGGTCAAAGTGCATAGACTCCAACTCCCCCAGGCCCCCCAGGCTCCGTCAACTGGAACGATTCATAATCTTAACAACAACTTTCATTTGCGTGAAAACTTCAAATCAAAAGAAAATTCCTTTTTGATTAGTCAAGGATCTTATATGAGGTTTATGTATCCTTCTTGGTTTGTTGGCAAAACTGGACTTTAATGGAAAGATCTATTTTAATCTGGATTTTTAATTATTTTATGTTATGCTGATTTATCAAGATATTTGATGTGTTCCTTTTTTCCTTATAAGCAAAACGTACAAAAAAATCGCCCTATTATTTCAAATCCAATTGTTAATTATAATTTATTCACTAGTATATACATTCTGAACAGCACGTACTGATACAAGATTGAGTGTTGCAGTCCATAGTTTCTGATGCTGAATTCGGACAGTTAACCCCGCCATATTGCGGAGAGGGATTTGTACATGATCGAGTTCTTGTAGAAGAGCCACCCCCGCACGTGACCGTACACGTGCTCCAGCTTCCCCAATTTGTCCAGGCACCATCAACTAAGATTCAAGTTAATTTGTAATATCAAACAAACTTTATAAAAGTGTTGGGTACATGAACAGTGACCAGAAAGAAAATAACGTGTTTGATGAAATGATAAAATGTAAAAATCTATATATGATTTTTTTACCGAGTTTGTCAAAATATTATCAAAACACCAGAATTCAGAAAAAAAATCTTTGTGATTTCAATATGTTGATGCTATTAAAATTGCCATATCCAAATAAAGATATGCTGCAAATACAGTTATGGCATATCTCGATTACATTAAAATTCAGAGGTTTTTGTAAGTGACGATGTAAAGGATGTATACTGCCACGGTGGGCGTTATGAGTTCACGTTATCGGTTTGTTGTAATAGCAATTGGCGAAAAAGTGGAATTTCAAAATAAATAATTACGTTCTGAGAACTATATACACTCACTTGGACAAGGTGATAGTGTGCACGTTTTAGTGCCACGGGTTGCTCCGGAACAACTTGTCCCTCCAAACTGGGGTGCTGGATTTGTACAAGAACGGCTCCTCTCTTGCGTACCAGACGCACATGTTACAGAACAAGAACTCCAGGTTGTCCATGATGTAAATCCACCATTAACTACACAGGAAATAAAAAAAGAAAAAAAAACTCAATGATAAACGACAGCAGTTAATGTTTACACAAATTAGTTTTGGAGTGTCTTTTGTGTTTCCGACATGTTAAGTGTACTCTGACGTTCAGAATATCGAATTGTGTTTCTGTCCTGGATGTGTACTCTAACGTTCAGAATATCTAATTGTGTTTCTGTCTGTCCTGGATGTGTACTCTGACGTTCAGAGTATCTAATTGTGTTTCTGTCCTGGATGTGTACTCTAACGTTCAGAATATCGAATTGTGTTTCTGTCCTGGATGTGTACTCTGACGTTCAGAATATCGAATTGTGTTTCTGTCCTGGATGTGTACTCTGACGTTCAGAGTATCTAATTGTGTTTCTGTCCTGGATGTGTACTCTGACGTTCAGAGTATCTAATTGTGTTTCTGTCCTGGATGTGTACTCTGACGTTCAGAGTATCTAATTGTGTTTCTGTCCTGGATGTGTACTCTGACGTTCAGAATATCTTGTGTTTCTGTCTGTCCTGGATGTGTACTCTGACGTTCAGAATATATAATGGTGTTTCTGTCATGGATGTGTACTTTTACGTTCAGAATATCTTATTGTGTTTATGTTGTAGTTTCTGTTTCATTAAATTCGTGAAGTAATTTTTCGAATCATTTTGTCTATGAATATAATTTCACCCCAACTTTGAAATAATCAGGATAGCGTTGTGACAATGATGTTCATAGATACAACCAAACATTCAGGTTTCATTAAATGTGAGTGTATGAATGGAAACATGAGATCGATATATTCAATTATTTTTTTTATCTACTAATATATTTTAGTTTCATCTGTAGCCCAACCATTTCCCCCCCTCTCTCTCTCTCTCTCTCTCTCTCTCTCTCTCTCTCTCTCTCTCTCTCTCTCTCTCTCTCTCTCTCAATACCTACTGACTTAATATTGACTGACTTAATCTATTGAATTTCTTTTTGTATTTAAAGAGAGCATGAAATGCATGTGTGAGGATGTGAGTGATGCATGTACAAAAGTATGCATGTCCATGTGTTGGTAGAAATAGCTGATGTTGATGAAAATGCTGATGATGATATCATTATTATTATTGTGTGAGGGTGTGGAAGATGTGTGACAGTAGGATGATAAATGACGAGTGTGTTGATAAATATACCGTGAAGATAATGACTTCTACTGATGATGATGTTGCTGGTTGGTGATGATGATTGTTGATGACGAGGATGTTGATGATGATGATGATGATGCTGCTGATGATGATGGTTGATGATGATGATGATGATGATGATGATGATGATGATGATAATGACGATGGTGATGATAATGATGATGATGGTGGTTGATAATGAGGATGTTGTGGTTTAATGATGATGATGATGATGATGATGATGATGATGATGATGATGATGATGATGATGATGATGATGATGCATGGTAAAGTGTGTTGCACATGTAGATGTCATTATCTGTAAAAATTACGAAACTTTTCAAAAATAAAAGAAATTTAAAAAAATAAATTATCTATGTGTTAATATATCCACGCATAGTTTTCGTTCTGGTTTAACGTCAATCTTTATGGTACTACAAAATAAAAATCCTGATACCAAACTATTTATTCTAAGCAATAAAATCTTTAAAGTTAAAATTGTTTGAACTATGTATGTATCGTAATTATCTTAATGTACAGCCCACTCCTTTATACATACTGGCACAATACGTCGAAGTTGTGCAGGATGGAACATCTGTGTTGGAACCAGGACAGTTTGCGCCATTATGCTGTGGAGCCGGGTTGTCACATGATCGGGTTCGAGTCTTGGTGCCAGTCTGTGACGTTCCATAGTCCTTACACGTTAGTGTACAAGATGTGTAACTACTCCAGGATCCCCATACTCCATCGACTACAAGAAGTGTCGTTATAATATTCTTTGGTTTATAGAAACTGTTATCATATTTGTATATTATGTAGGTGAGACATATGTGTTTATGTGCTAATAATAATCCATGACCCAAAACACTTTAATGGTTTTAAAAGGATGATTTGATGATCTGCTGCAAGCTGAATATTGTCCCCTTATTGGTCAGGGTGACTGCAGAGAAGTATTTCTCAGCTCTCCTCACAGCCATAATTATTATGTACTGCGGGGACTCTGATCTTTTGAATCACATCTTCTTTCCTACCCCTTTTTACTTTTGTTGTCAGTACCTATAATTAAGATTTTTTTTGACAACCCCATTTGAAACAGCACAGATCTATTTTGCTCGGATTTGCTTCTTTTTGTCTGAGTTGCATTTTGTACTGATGTTTTATAACAGTTCATTATTTATGTTATGATGGAAGTCACATGTTGGCTAAATAAGTCAATCCATCCTTTAAGTAGTCATTTTGATAAACTGTTATTTCTTGTTATACATAGTATATATACATAGTATAAACACAGACATTAGTTTACTACATGATATACATGATATACATGATATACTTTATATACTTAAGAATACATATATATGTCTAAAACATTTCATCAACTTACTTGGACATGGGCTCTTTGTACAAGATTTAGCCTCTGAACTACTTCCAGAACAAGAGTTTCCGCCATACTGAGGTGTCGGATTGTTACACGAACGAGTCCTGGTTTGGGTACCACTGTCGCACGTCACAGAACACGCACCCCATCCTCCCCAGCTGGTGTAACCGCCATGTACTGGTAACAGTTATTGAACATAATTCAATATTTATGTTATCATTATCACGAATACTGATGATTGTTTTATCATATGTAAAATCGATTGTGTACGAACATTTACATTTTGAGTTGTATGTTCCACACGACCTTACCGTATATATACGAGTCATGGCCGATTAGCATACTTTTGATGGACAATAAGTAATTTAATTCGTGACTACAAATAAAGCAATAATTTGTCAGTTCAAAATGAATTAGTTCGACCCCGCTCTCTTTAGATATATAACCGGCGGATATACCACTATGTAAGTCTTACTGTTTTCAGCAGAATTTTTTCTTTAAAGATTGTTTGGTTTAATCTTTCATAATACTTCTTTCTAAAAAGTCGGTTCTTATATAAAGTCTAACTATATATCTTGATTAAACTTTAAACTTTTACTTCAAGCTAAATTAATCATGTTAAGGCAATGTATATTGACAGCACACTTTGAATCGAACACTGTGATGTAAAATACAATACAGTATTGTAAACTACGACCAGCGTATGTACACGTACCTGGACAGTAATTGGATGGTGTACATGATTGAGTCTGCGTCCCGGAGCCTGAACACTGTTTCCCATCATACTTTGGAGTTGGATTATTACATAACCTCGTTTTGGTTGATACACCGGTAGTAGCGCCTCCTGATGTTGATTTACACGATACAGAACACGTGGAATATGACCCCCATGTACTCCAGCCTCCATCAACTGTAACAAAAATAAATAGGATCTGATGTCATCATCATATCTATCAATCCTGTTTCGGTGAAATGAGTGTTTCCGAAATTTCTAGTGACTCCATATATGTTATATATGTTACAAAGTTCGGAATCAATTTTCGTGGTTTTCAAATAGAATTTGTTATCTAGTGAATCCTTGATTTAGTGAATAAATATAAGCCCATAAAGCCAACAATACTTATTTAACAGTTCATGGTCATTTGAATTCGTGGATTACGAAACTAAATCGTCCATAAAAATTGTTCATTTTACACTATTTAGTTGTAAGGAGTCCAACTTTTGCCGTAAAATATTTGTTTTACGAAATGTTAATGAATAACATTTTCTTACTTACGGGAATCTAGTTAATGTCCAACATCTTCGGAAAAACACTGGTTATATGTTAGAATAGTTCTACTGATGTTTAGATTTATACTTTTTCACGAGCCTAGGTGTAAATATATTTTGTTCATATTTTGACAAGGATTAATCGAATTAGAGTTTCAATTTGCGTTTTGTTTATCTAAGTACGTATGTTTCACATCCTTCTCATAAGAACGTTAGGCAGCAATAATTTCCCTCAATACATGGGGAGTAAATAAATCAATCAAATTAAAAAATACATCAACTGATTTGAAGAGAGAAAATAAGCAGATTTTATTATGTATCCATCAGTGGTTTCAAAAGGCAAGACTTTAAGTGGAAAATATTGAATATAATTTCTTGTAAGTAGCCTTTTTATTCTTGGACGATAGAATGTTACAGTGTGGTACCGATAGATATCAATAGTACAATATGTCTGTAGGAAATATAGAAAATTGTACATACTTGGAGATTGAGTGACAATATGTCTGTAGGTAAGTATAGACAATTATACATACTGGTCGGTTGAGAGACAACATGTCTGTAGGTAAGTATTGACAATTATACTTAGTGGGCGGCGGAGTGACATGTCTGTAGTTAAGAATAGAAAATTGTACATACTGGGCGGAGGTGTGACAATATGTCGGTGGATAAGTAAAGAAAGTTGTACATACTGGACAATGGAGTGACAATTTCTGTAGGTAATTTTTAAAAAATAGTACATACTGGTCGGTGGATTGACATTATGTTTGTAGTTAGGTATAGAAAATTATACATAATGGGCGGTGGAATGACAATATGTCTGTAAGTAGATTGTACATTCTGGGAGGTTGAGTGACAATTTGTCTGTAGTTAGGTATAGACAATTGTACATACTGGGCGGTGGAGTGACAATATGTCAGTAGGTTAATATAGAAAATTATACATACTGGGCGGTGGAGTGACAATGTGTCTGTAGGTTAATATAGAAAATTATACATACTGGGCGGTGGAGTGCCACTATATCTGTAGTTAGTTTTAGAAAATTGTTACATACTGGGCGGTGAAGTGACAATATGTCTGTAGGTAAGTATTGAAAATTGTACATACTGGGAGATTGAGTGACAATGTGTCTGTAGGAAGTATAGAAAATTGTTACATACTGGTCGGTGTTGTGACAATATGTCGGTAGTTTAGTATAGACAATGGTACATACTTGGCGGTGGAGTGACAATGTGTCTAGGTAGATATAGAAAATTACACATACTGGGACAGGAAAGTGACAATATGTCGGTGGGTATGTTTTGAAAATTGTACCTTCTGGGAGGTTGAGTGACAATTTGTCTGTAGTTAGGTATAGACAATTGTACATACTGGTCAGTGGATTGACAATATGTCTGTAGTTAGATATAGAAAATTATACATAATGGGCTATGGTGTGACAATATGTCTGTAGGTAAATATTGATAATTGTACATAATGGGCGGTGGAATGACAATATGTTTGTAAGTAGATATAGAAAATTGTTACATACTTGGCGGTGGAGTGACAATGTGTCTGTAGGTAAATATAGAAAATTGTACATACTGGGCTGTGGAGTGACAATATGTGTGTAGGTAAATATACAAATTTGTACATACTGGGACAGGAAAGTAACAATATGTCGGTGGGTAAGTTTTGAAAATTGTAGATACTGGGCGGTGGAGTGACAATATGTCAGTAGGTTAATATAGAAAATTATACATACTGGGCGGTGGAGTGACAATATGTCAGTAGGTTAATATAGAAAATTATACATACTGGGCGGTGGAGTGACAATGTGTCTATAGGTTAATATAGAAAATTATACATACTGGGCGGTGGAGTGACAATATGTCAGTAGGTTAATATAGAAAATTATACATACTGGGCGGTGGAGTGACAATGTGTATGTAGGTTAATATAGAAAATTATACATACTGGGCGGTGGAGTGCCACTATGTCTGTAGTTAGTTTTAGAAAATTGTACATATTGGGCGATGAAGTGACAATATGTCTGTAGGTAAGTATTGAAAATTATACATACTGGGCGGTGGAGTGCCACTATATCTGTAGTTAGTTTTAGAAAATTGTACATACTGGGCGGTGAAGTGACAATATGTCTGTAGGTAAGTATTGAAAATTGTACATACTGGGAGATTGAGTGACAATGTGTCTGTAGGAAGTATAGAAAATTGTTACATACTGGTCGGTGTTGTGACAATATGTCGGTAGTTTAGTATAGACAATGGTACATACTGGGACGGTGGAGTGACAATATGTTTGTAGGTAAGTTTTGAAAATTGTACATACTGGGCGGTTGAGTGACAATATGTGTGTAGTTAGGTATAAAAAATGTACATACTGGGCAAAGGTGTGAAAATATGTCTGTACGTAGATATTGAAAATTCTACATACTGGGCGGTGGAGTGACAATATGTCAGTAGGTTAATATAGAAAATTATACATACTGGGCGGTGGAATGACAGTATGTCTGTAGTTAAGTTTTGAAAATTGTACATACTGCGCGTTGAGTGACAATATGTCTGTAGGTAAGTATAGACAATTATACATACTGGTCGGTTGAGAGACAACATGTCTGTTGGTAAGTATTGACAATTATACTTAGTGGGCGGCGGAGTGACATGTCTGTAGTTAAGAATAGAAAATTGTACATACTGGGCGGAGGTGTGACAATATGTCGGTGGATAAGTAAAGAAAGTTGTACATACTGGACAATGGAGTGACAATGTCTGTAGGTAATTTTTAAAAAATAGTACATACTGGTCGGTGGATTGACATTATGTTTGTAGTTAGGTATAGAAAATTATACATAATGGGCGGTGGAATGACAATATGTCTGTAAGTAGATTGTACATTCTGGGAGGTTGAGTGACAATTTGTCTGTAGTTAGGTATAGAAAATTATACATACTGGGACAGGAAAGTGACAATATGTCTGTAGTTAGGTATAGAAAATTATACATAATGGGCTATGGTGTGACAATAAGGTTGTAGGTAAGTATTGATAATTGTACATACTGGGCGGTGGAGTGACAATATGTCAGTAGGTTAATATAGAAAATTATACATACTGGGCGGTGGAGTGACAATATGTCAGTAGGTTAATATAGAAAATTATACATACTGGGCGGTGGAGTGTTAATGTGTCTGTAGGTTAATATAGAAAATTGTACATACTGGTCAGTGGATTGACAATATGTCTGTAGTTAGGTATAGAAAATTATACATAATGGGCTATGGTGTGACAATATGTCTGTAGGTAAGTATTGAAAATTGTACATACTGGGAGATTGAGTGACAATGTGTCTGTAGGTAAATATAGAAAATTGTACATACTGGGCGGTGGAGTGACAATATGTGTGTAGGTAAATATAGAAAATTGTACATTCTGGGACGGTGGAGTGACAATATGTTTGTAGGTAAGTTTTGAAAATTGTACATACTGGGCGGTTGAGTGACAATATGTGTGTAGTTAGGTATAAAAAATGTACATACTGGGCAAAGGTGTGAAAATATGTCTGTACGTAGATATAGAAAATTGTTACATACTGGGCGGTGGAGTGACAATATATCTGAAGGTAAGTATTGACAATTGTACATACTGGGAGGTCGAGTGACAATAAGTCTGTAGGTTAATATAGAAAATTATACATACTGGGCGGTGGAGTGACAATGTGTCAGTAGGTTAATATAGAAAATTATACATACTGGGCGGTGGAGTGACAATATGTCAGTAGGTTAATATAGAAAATTATACATACTGGGCGGTGGAGTGACAATGTGTCAGTAGGTTAATATAGAAAATTATACATACTGGGCGGTGGAGTGACAATGTGTCTGTAGGTTAATATAGAAAATTATACATACTGGGCGGTGGAGTGCCACTATGTCTGTAGTTAGTTTTAGAAAATTGTACATATTGGGCGATGAAGTGACAATATGTCTGTAGGTAACTATTGAAAATTGTACATACTGGGAGATTGAGTGACAATGTGTCTGTAGGAAGTATAGAAAATTGTTACATACTGGTCGGTGTTGTGACAATATGTCGGTAGTTTAGTATAGACAATGGTACATACTTGGCGGTGGAGTGACAATGTGTCTAGGTAGATATAGAAAATTACACATACTGGGACAGGAAAGTAACAATATGTCGGTGGGTAAGTTTTGAAAATTGTACATTCTGGGGGGTTGAGTGACAATATGTCAGTAGGTTAATATAGAAAATTATACATACTGGGCGGTGGAGTGACAATATGTCAGTAGGTTAATATAGAAAATTATACATACTGGGCGGTGGAGTGACAATGTGTCTGTAGGTTAATATAGAAAATTATACATACTGGGCGGTGGAGTGCCACTATATCTGTAGTTAGTTTTAGAAAATTGTTACATACTGGGCGGTGAAGTGACAATATGTCTGTAGGTAAGTATTGAAAATTGTACATACTGGGAGATTGAGTGACAATGTGTCTGTAGGAAGTATAGAAAATTGTTACATACTGGTCGGTGTTGTGACAATATGTCGGTAGTTTAGTATAGACAATGGTACATACTTGGCGGTGGAGTGACAATGTGTCTAGGTAGATATAGAAAATTACACATACTGGGACAGGAAAGTGACAATATGTCGATGGGTAAGTTTTGAAAATTGTACCTTCTGGGGGGTTGAGTGACAATTTGTCTGTAGTTAGGTATAGACAATTGTACATACTGGTCAGTGGATTGACAATATGTCTGTAGTTAGGTATAGAAAATTATACATAATGGGCTATGGTGTGACAATATGTCTGTAGGTAAATATTGATAATTGTACATAATGGGCGGTGGAATGACAATATGTTTGTAAGTAGATATAGAAAATTGTTACATACTTGGCGGTGGAGTGACAATGTGTCTGTAGGTAAATATAGAAAATTGTACATACTGGGCTGTGGAGTGACAATATGTGTGTAGGTAAATATACAAATTTGTACATACTGGGACAGGAAAGTAACAATATGTCGGTGGGTAAGTTTTGAAAATTGTAGTACTGGGCGGTGGTGACAATATGTGTAGGTTAATATAGAAAATTATACATACAATATGTCAGTAGGTTAATATAGAAAATTATACATACTGGGCGGTGGAGTGACAATATGTCAGTAGGTTAATATAGAAAATTATACATACTGGGCGGTGGAGTGACAATGTGTCTATAGGTTAATATAGAAAATTATACATACTGGGCGGTGGAGTGACAATATGTCAGTAGGTTAATATAGAAAATTATACATACTGGGCGGTGGAGTGACAATGTGTATGTAGGTTAATATAGAAAATTATACATACTGGGCGGTGGAGTGACAATGTGTCTGTAGGTTAATATAGAAAATTCTACATACTGGGCGGTGGTGTGACAATATGTCAGTAGGTTAATATAGAAAATTATACATACTGGGCGGTGGAATGACAATGTGTCTGTAGGTTAAAATAGAAAATTATACATACTGGGCGGTGGAGTGACAATATGTCAGTAGGTTAATATAGAAAATTATACATACTGGGCGGTGGAGTGACAATGTGTCTGTAGGTTAATATAGAAAATTATACATACTAGGCGGTGGAGTGACAATATGTCAGTAGGTTAATATAGAAAATTATACAAACTGGGCGGTGGAGTGACAATGTGTCTGTAGGTTAATATAGAAAATTATACATACTGGGCGGTGGAATGACAATGTGTCTGTAGGTTAAAATAGAAAATTATACATACTGGGCGGTGGAGTGACAATATGTCAGTAGGTTAATATAGAAAATTATACATACTGGGCGGTGGAGTGACAATGTGTCTGTAGGTTAATATAGAAAATTATACATACTAGGCGGTGGAGTGACAATATGTCAGTAGGTTAATATAGAAAATTATACAAACTGGGAGGTGGAGTGACAATGTGTCTGTAGGTTAATATAGAAAATTATATACTGAAAGGATGAAGAAACGCAGGGTAATAATTATTCCGATATTTTGAAAACTCGTTCAATTGGTTGTTATTGATGGCAATTTAACAGCAGCTAAGTATAGAGATGAGATCCTCCGACCCCATGTTATCCCTTTCTTACAGCAGCATAATCTAACCCTCCAGCAGGATAATGCTAGACCCCACGTAGTAAGGATTTGCCAAGTCTTTCTGGCCAACAACAACATTCAACCACTAGATTGGCCCTGATTTGTCCCGGATCGAGCATCGTTGGGACCAGTTGGATAGACAGGTTCGAAAACGCCAGCCATCCCTGCTACTCGAGAGCAGTTGACCAGAGCTCTGATTGAAGAGTGGGAAAACATCCCCATAAGACGGATTAACGCTCTCATGAACTCTATGACCAGAAGAATAAGGGCCGTGACCACAGCAAACGGCGGACACACAAGATATTGATGACTCAGTTCAATTTCAATTTCAAAATCCTATGGGTCCATTCAATTTAATCGTTAGTACCTCTAAACCAATTGTCAGATGCAAAATACAGACTTTGGAAATTTTTAACCTTTAATTTATCTGTAAGTATACAAAATTGCGTTTTAAATGAAGTCCGATATCTTATTTAATTTCTGGTTTAAAGTTCACCCTGCGTTTCTTTATCCTTTTAGTATACATACTGGGCGTTGGAGTGACAATATGTCAGTAGGTTAATATAGAAAATTATACTTACTTGGCGGTGGAGTGGCACAATCTTCCTCTGCAATCCCATCACCGTCATCATCTACAACAGACACATAAAACCATAGCGTCTTACTTCCGTTAATCAACATAAATATTCAAATCTGTAGTTTTTTGATCCAATATCCAATGAAATTTTCACATAATTAAGTTTACATGGTATTATGTTTCTCGGACCGATTGTAAGTAATTCTTGTTGATATAGTTAACAATTAAACTAAATAATGTTCTTCCTGTTTTTCTGGTGATCCTTCTACTCCTTAAAGAATTGCATTAAAAGAATAAGATATTGCATATTGAGATATATATTACAAGTTGTCACACCTATGACTCAATCAATCATACCTCTACCCAGATTCTCCGTAGTACACGACTCTCCGTCAATCAGACCGTCACAGTCAGTAATATATACCTCTACCCTGATTCTCTGTAGTACAAAACTCCTCATCAATAAGACCGTCACAGTCAGTAATACATACCTCTACCCTGATTCTCTGTAGTACACAACTCCTCATCAATTAGACCGTCACAGTCGTTGTCTATGCCATCACCCACAACCGTAGTTGTCGGTACACAAATCTGAAATGATTGTCACTTCCATGTCTTGATATGTAGCAAACTTAATCTACATTTACAATCTTAGGTTTGTTAGTATCCAGAAGTGTTGTAAATCTAATCTTATAGTCGGTGAATTTTATGTTTTAAATATGAAAAACTAAGAAAGTTGCAATACCTCTAGTTTTATCAAACATAATGATTTCATGTGTTCCCTTAATCATTGACATAATTATTTCCCTTTTAACCTGAGTCGTAGAGCATTTATTTTCTTGTCAACAAAGACTTTTCCCAGAAAAGATTGACATCTGCCATTGTATGGTGTTGATATGATCTTTGCTATGTGGATGTTTATTTTTTTTTTCCTTTTATGTCTTGTTAATAAACTGTTGTATCGATTACTGTATAATTTTTATGATAATGCCAATTAAAAAGGAAATCCACTGACATTGACCCACCCATTGACTGCATCTTGAAAAAGAGTTCTATAAAAACAACAAGAAAACACCAACATATCCAAAACCCACCTGATATATAGGGATCTAAACAAAGCTAGTGTATATACTCGAGAACTTTACTATCAGTACTTTTAGACATTGTGTCACAATGAAGGTTATCCCCATGTCATCATTTTCCTATCCGGGATCAGAATCAAAGTTTCACATTCACAATAATGAAAACCATGACATGGAATTCTAAAAACGTATCACGTCTGTACTTTGATAGAAAGTTTCATCATAAGAAAATAGTATAATAAACACACAAGTGAATGACGCTTTTTAGATACAAAATTAAGTAAGATACGGTAGAGCCAAACAATGAATCAAACTTCAGCATACAGTTGTATTGTCCTTATAGGACTCGTCTTTGATGCTGGAATCTCAGCTTATCGAAAGGAATAGGCCCAAAAATTAAATAAAAGTAGGATTAATATCAAAATATAAATTAACGATAATTTCTCATCAGAAATATTCACCGTGTTGATGCCCGCCATTCTCATGCCTGTAGTAAACCCATAGGTCTCGTAGTTTGCTTGACCGTACAGATATCCTCCAAAGATGGAGATAGGAGACGTGTGACGTACAGTGTGGGACCCCTCGGACACGCTGATATAGCCCCCTACGTAATCCGTGCCGCTTATTGTGTTGTACACAGTATTGGAGGGGAAGGTATTGCCATCGACTCGAAGTCCAGATTTCTCACTATTCTTAACAATAAACATGAAATAATTGTTGTAAGAGCCGAGAGAGTACTTTGGTGTTGTAAATGTGTAGTCGGCTCCGTATTGTTCCACCGGTGGAATGATCATCATCATAGGATCCGATTTTTCGCTTGATGACTGTTGACTGAGGCAAAACTGAACAACTAATATTGGTTTATCAGAGACAACAAGACAGTATGCCCCAGAAGGTATCGTTTTCTGTACGACTGTACCTGCATTACTTAGCGTAAAGGAAGTGGAATATCCTCCACTTATAGTAACTTGGGTGTTACTCTCACTGGCTATAAATTTGAAGTAATCACCAACTGTCCTCAGTGGAACAGGAACAGTAACAAATCGTTTACCCCAAGTATCAACATTTGTAAGATGTTCGACCAGATGGTCAGAACTTCCTCCTCTGCCAATATTTGTTTTCCTATTTCCACTGAAAACAGAAACCGGCTTACTGGAACTAACGTATGTGCCGGAAAGATCGCCGTAGGTGACTAACTGGAATGTGTCGAATCTGTTCATGGTGACAGTAAGTGTTTGTCCGCTGTAGTAGTTTGTTCCTCCCCAAGATATGTACCGACTACCAATAGCATCTCCAACTCTGATGTTTACTGTAGTGCTGTCATTCACACCGACAACCAACAGCTCACATTGTCTGGACGGTGGGTAATACGTGATGGCGTAGTATTCAGTTCCAAGGACGTCTGTAGGCAATCCTAAAAAGGCATCACATGAATATGTCTCCTTATTTACTCCGTAAATCACGACCTCTTCATCTGCAGTGATCCAGACGGCCTTGGAACTCATTTCATTACCACTCAGACGAATACGTGGGTGGAAGAACAGTTGTTTCACAGTTCCGGCAGTGACGGAGAAGGCAGAGTTGATCCCCGCGGCGCTGTATCTCGGGGCGGTCACCCGTACATTGACTGTGGTGGTCCTCATGGTTGTGATAAAGAGTTCGACGTTTATAGACTCTGCAATGTTCTCCATATAGCCAATGATAAACTCTGTACCTCGATTGTCAGGAGCGCCTTTTCAAAATCAAACCAATCATATGTATGAGATATCATACCAGAAATGAATAAACTGTACACTGTAAACGTTACAATAAATGATAAATGAACATATATTTATTTTATTTATTTATTCGGTTTTTTACAAAATTATAATGATTACTGTTTAGTCGTTATCCAAAAACTAAAATATTTGAAAAAATTATCTTTAAATCTGTTATCAAGTTGATTGGTATCGTCAGAAAAAGGGCCTTATTTCTGTACAATATCTGTGCGTTAAATTAATTAGATCATACCATGTACAGTGGATAGGGCGCATAGGATTGACACCAGCCAAACACGAATGTTCTCTGAAAATTATTCGGTTTTTTACAAAATCATAATGATTACTGTTTAGTCGTTATCCAAAAACTAAAATATTTGAAAAAAATATCTTTAAATCTGTTATCAAGTTGATTGGTATCGTCAGAAAAAGGGCCTTATTTCTGTACAATATCTGTGCGTTAAATTAATTAGATCATACCATGTACAGTGGATAGGGAGCATAGGATTGACACCAGCCAAACACGAATGTTCTCTGAAAATTGATATAAGGACAGACACAACATTTAGAAAAACTGTTTAAATATTTTGTGATATTTAATTCATTAGGAATATACATGTTATTTTATTAGCTTCAAATTATCATTATTTAACAAATGCTTTGGTTTTCTTCTTATTATTTTTAAAATCAATTATGAAAAAAATTGAAACGTTTTCTGTAAAATGTATGCTTCTTCCTCTGTCTTTGTTTTAGCTTTTCAAACACTTGAATTCCATTTGGGTAATAATATATTTTTGAACGAAGTTGCAAAATTTGGAAGTCATAGCATTCTTTAACAAAGGTAATTCATATTTATATATAAATACAATAATAAATAAGTAAATCTAAATCATTGAAAGAATATCCCAAATAAATGGTATTTTAAAGTCATCAGAGAATATTTGACAGCAAATAAACATAAAAATACAATCTTAATAAATCTATTTCTAATTTTTTTTATTTACTGAAACGACGAAATATTTTATTTGTCTAAACTAGAAAGTTTAATGATTTATTACTTACCCATGGTAGGACCTACGTCTAGCGCAGTAGACGTGTCAAGCAACTTATATCGATGATTAAGTTCACCAGTACCAATGGAAAAAACGCGCAGATTTAACTATATAATCGTCATAAGAGGCCGATGAGCATTGACAGATCTAAATAAAGCAAAGGATTATCCGGTTGTTAGGTAGGAGCGATGAGAGTTCAATAAGTTAAATTTAATCATACTCTGTATGAAAGTATTTGATTATAGAGCTGCCCTAATTTGTCCTACAATGTACATTATTCCAAAAGCTGTCCACTTTTTAATTTAGACTTAGTCATCCTTATTTGTTTAAACAATAAATAAGTACCTAACATTTCAAAATCTTTATCTAAATTTATTATATCGATGAAACTAGTTAGGACAATACATGAAGCGTAGAAATATTAACACGAATATCAGTGAAAAAAGGAAAGGAAGGAATAACCATGTGTTCCAGAAGGGTCGGAGTTTTCTGCTTTATTAATGATACCCGACATGTCAATCTGGGTCCATTCATGTAAATGTTCTCAAATGAGATTAATTTGACGATTTTTTTTCAGCATGACAAATATGAAAGAGATAAGTGTATTCTAATGAGGTCAATTTATCAGTTTTTCCCCTGAGGAACAAAAACGGAATAAGCACATAGATTTGTTAAGAGGCTTTACATTGGTCGATTCCTACGATCGAAAATGGTAAAGTATAGTCTATAATTTACTGCGAGGGCAACACTAAGTCGTCTATAACGACATGCACGAACTTATGTCGGGGATCACTAATACAGCTACTCATCTGCCTATTCATTTATTTCGCCCATTTTGATTTTTTTTCTCAGTCGCCTTTAGCATTACGGACAAGTTCTAGAAGGATGCAACAGCTGTATGATGCTGATATATTCATTATTTTACTCTAATGTGCTAAATCCAAAATTCGTTATATCTCGTACACAATCTCTACATTACATTATCAGTTGTTTATTTAACTGTTATTTATCGTGTTTAAGTGTTAGAATACGCGATAACCTTCATTAGAATATCCAGGTGATAAACCTTTATTCGAATATCTAGCTAATACGACCTTGTGTGTATTGAGTCTGTTGTACATTTAGTATTGATTACGTGCCTTGTTTCAACCATTTGATTATTTAATTAGTGGAATTAGTTTTTTTATATTTCATTGAGCTAAGTGTATGAGAAAACAATTCAAATGTATGGAAATGTGTTACGAAGTTAGTTTGTGTTGACTAAACTTTAACCTAGCTGAATTATCCTATTAGGGCATTGCGCACCTAAAATTAACCCTTTGATTACTTACTTAAGAGATTATTTCACGTTTAAGCTGAAATCTACTTGTACGGTGTATTACTGACACAGAAACCAAGTTAGAATGTTAGTCTAGCCATGGCGATCTCAATATTGGGTAATGTATATTTTGTTCATTATAAACGTAACCCTGTTTATTTTGTTCTTTATCCTATTAATTATAAACACAAATATAAAACACAATATACATTCATATACTATTATAAAACTAAGAAAATTTAACTGAAAGTGTAGTTTTTAATATGTTAAATAAATGACGTATTGTCATATAAATGTTTAAAAGAAACCACATCGAACTGTTATCATTTCGAATTTGACTTGATATCTACTTCGCAAAGTTTCAAATTATAGTGTAATCTTGAATCCAGTAACTACAATTCGGTTTAAGTAAGAGTATATAAACTACCGGGCTGAACTTTATAAATACCTACATATATATATGTATGATCAATGAAGTAATAACGACAGTACGGACAAGCGATTTGTCTAATTTCCAAGGCAACCTGCCCATTTCTCTAGACACAAATCTAAATTTAGGCGTCTTGATAATCTCTTCCACCAATTGATACTGAAGGCTCTTTATAACAAAAACCAACCTAAATTGTTGCTTGGAAGACGGTGATTTAAATATCAAAAATGTTTTATATCAATAGACACTGAGTGTATGCATAGCCGCAACAACAACAATTGCATGCCATACTCCGAGGAAAGTAAACATGCCTCGATTGATTTTTCATTTTCCATCTTCAAAGTGACGGTACCAAAGAACATCAATTTTTACAACTGTGTATCTCCTTTAATATTAAAAATGTATACAACCATTAGGAAAAAGGCTACAATATGTGACAAGTATTCTTTTTATTTTAAGATTCTTCTGCTCTCGATAAGCATGTCGTATAAAAAACTTAAAAAAAAAACTGTTTCAAGTTCAACAGATGACATCTTAAACTGTACCTGCAGGGAAAATACTTTGTTCCATTGCTTTTATAACCCAAATGACGGCGATCATTGATTAAAGTTCAAGAATGCTAATCAATTATTATTTTAACTGTTATAAGCAATCGATTTCAAAAATGTTTCATTTCGTTGTTTGAAATTAGTTTGTGTTGACTAAACTTTAACCTAGCTGAATTATCTTATTAGGGTATTGCGCACCTAAAATTAACCCTTTGATTACTTACTTATGAGATTATTTCACGTTTAAGCTGAAATCTATTTGTACGGTTATTACTGACACAGAAACCAAGTTAGAATGTTAGTCTAGCCATGGCGATCTCAATATTGGGTAACGTATATTTTGTTCATTATAAACGTAACCCTGTTTATTTTGTTCTTTATCCTATTAATTATAAACACAAATATAAAACACAATATACATTCATATACTATTATAAAACTAAGAAAATTTAACTGAAAGTGTAGTTTTTAATATGTTAAATAAATGACGTATTGTCATATAAATGTTTAAAAGAAACCACATCGAACTGTTATCATTTCGAATTTGACTTGATATCTACTTCGCAAAGTTTCAAATTATAGTGTAATCTTGAATCCAGTAACTACAATTCGGTTTTAGTAAGAGTATATAAACTACCGGGCTGAACTTTATAAATACCTACATATATATATATATATGATCAATGAAGTAATAACGACAGTACGGACAAGCGAATTGATAATCTCTCCCACCTATTGATACCGAGGCTCTTTATAACAAAAACCAACCTAAATTGTTGCTTGGAAGACGGTGATTTAAATATCAAAAATGTTTTATATCAATAGACACTGAGTGTATGCATAGCCGCAACAACAACAATTGCATGCCATACTCCGAGGAAAGTAAACATGCCTCGATTGATTTTTCATTTTCCATCTTCAAAGTGACGGTACCAAAGAACATCAATTTTTACAACTGTGTATCTCCTTTAATATTAAAAATGTATTGCATTATACAACCATTAGGAAAAAGGCTACAATATGTGACAAGTATTCTTTTTATTTTAAGATTCTTCTGCTCTCGATAAGCATGTCGTATAAAAAACATTAAAAAAAACTGTTTCAAGTTCAACAGATGACATCTTAAACTGTACCTGCAGGGAAAATACTTTGTTCCATTGCTTTTATAACCCAAATGACGGCGATCATTGATTAAAGTTCAAGAATGCTAATCAATTATTATTTTAACTGTTATAAGCAATCGATTTCAAAAATGTTTCATTTCGTTGTTTGAATACATAGTTAAATGAAGGCTAATTATTTACACAGGTGTTTGGACTCTGATATGTCTTGCGTCCCAGTTCAGCGGCACCTTTGGTAAGTATTAACTAACAAAAGCAAGCAAATGAAAAAAAATACTCCTAGATGTGTTTATACAATATTGCGGAAATATTGTTATGGATATCACAAAAGACAATAAATGATGAGAAATATGCAATTACTCCTGATTTTTACGCAATTAATATCAACAGGAAGTATATATAGTTATTTGATAGAAGGTTATTAATCTATTGTTATAATTTTTTATTCCTATAAATATTGGTTAAGGAATCCATGGAAACTGCTTTATACGTTATCATCTGCTTATCACTTATTAATTCCGGAATTTAGGAGTGTTCATGGAAACAAAGAAAAAACGATTTTCCACGAAAAATAATGGTTTAACATTATATTATAATACAGAAATAAATCATCTACCATCATGTTGAGTATCAAGTGATTATTGTTCGATAAAAGGTGCGCCTGATAACCGAGGTACCGAGTTCATTATCGGGTACATGCAGAACATAGCCGTCTCCATGAATGTTGAACTCTTCATCACCACTATGAGAACGACAACAGTTAACGTTCAGGTAACCGCTCCGAGATACAGTTCTGCGGGAATCAACGAAGCCTTCTCTGTCACTGCCGGTACTGTGAAACAATTGTTCTTTCATCCAAATATTCGTCTGAGTGGTAATGAAATGAGTTCCAAGGCCGTCTGGATCACTGCAGATGAAGAGGTCGTGATTTACGGAGTAAATAAGGAGACCTATTCATGTGATGCCTTTTTAGGATTGCCTACAGACGTCCTTGGAACTGAATACTACGCCATCACGTATTACCCTCCGTCCAGACAATGTGAGCTGTTGGTTGTCGGTGTGAATGACAGCACTACAGTAAACATCAGAGTCGGAGATGCTATTGGTAGTCGGTACATATCTTGGGGAGGAACAAACTACTACAGCGGACAAACACTTACTGTCACCATGAACAGATTCGACACATTCCAGTTAGTCACCTACGGCGATCTTTCCGGCACATACGTTAGTTCCAGTAAGGCGGTTTCCGTTTTCAGCGGAAACCAGAAAACAAATATTGGCAGCGGAGGAAGTTCTGACCATCTGGTCGAACATCTTACAAATGTTGATACTTGGGGTAAACGATTTGTTACTGTTCCTGTTCCACTGAGGACAGTTGGTGATTACTTCAAATTTATAGCCAGTGAGAGTAACACCCAAGTTACTATAAGTGGAGGATATTCCACTTCCTTTACGCTAAGTAATGCAGGTACAGTCGTACAGAAAACGATACCTTCTGGGGCATACTGTCTTGTTGTCTCTGATAAACCAATATTAGTTGTTCAGTTTTGCCTCAGTCAACAGTCATCAAGCGAAAAATCGGATCCTATGATGATGA